AAGATACTTATCTTTAATGTTCAAGTTTTAGAATTTGAACTTGGATTAGGCCATTTTCGTCAATTTTGTTCTTAGAGCTTTTGGAAAAACACTTGGGAAGTACTCTCACAAATTTATTTCTTATTTTGCCTAGCGAAGAAATTGTGTATTAGAAAATATTCTGGTTTTTACCTTAGTGGTTAAGAAAAGCACAGTGGATACTTTTCCTAACTCAATAAAACATTTATTACCTAGATGTTGGCCTCCCTTTATCACCATCCTACAATTTCAACTCTTTTGCTGTTAACTTTAACTTCATCTGTGACTTTAATTATGATTGAGACTTCAACTTTATCTTCACATTCTCTGTCTGACTTTCAATTATACATGCATGATTATTGTGCATAGACCAATTAAATTGGACCGGCACGCTTGTGGTGCATGTTGTGTGTTATTAGGGTAGGCCTTTACATAAGTAGCCATAATCTCTGCAGATGGTGAGAAGCCCAGCTCAAACCAACTACCATACTATCGTCATTGGATCTATAGGTCTCAAGTAAGATCACTTCATATTTTACATTTGTTAGAAGTGCACCTGCACACCGCTGGTTGTGGCTTCGCTGATTTACTGAATGTCTTGCATGAATATATACACCTTTCAGTCTGAATCTACAAAAGTACCAAGACCAAGTAAGATTAAGTAAGATTTCCTGAATAGTGCATCTACCTACACAGAGATTGCTTATTAGCCATTTTCCGCGAGCCTTGCATTAAGTTTCATATCTGATTATCGAGCTTTTAGTGTATGAACATTTGTTCTTAATTTCGAGAAAGCTGTTAATTAAAGTAAGGTTAGATTCTTCCTCCATGGTTAGATTACTTGACATTTGCGACCTTGTACTTTCCGATAAAGACAGAAGCATTGGGCTCATAGAAAAACGAAAAACTAAAGATTGAGCTATTTATGTGCCCTAATGCAAACGTGTGACGACTGATCCAATAAATCGAACTCTATTTACTTTTGTCGCTTATGTGAACCAAAAATGTACTATTTATTTTTTCTGTGAATGATTTCAACGCTTTAGGGTTAATTTTACCATTGTGTTAAAGTTTAAACTATTAATTGAAGATTAAAATTACAATTTATGTAAAAATGTCATTTTAAACTTCATTAAACCCAATGGTGGAATCGGCCCTAAGTTAGTTATATGATGGTCATTGATTAGTTGCAATTTTGCAAATAATATATTCTCCAGCGCTTAATAGCCACTTGAGTGATAATTAAATCAGTTATATTTTATTTCTTTCATTTACTTTATTCAGCACCTTTCGGCTGAAAACCGGGCATATTTAGGCTTTTAACCCCAATTCTTTTATAACCTCGGCCTTCCACTATCTTTTAAGTCAATGTCAATAAAAAGGAAATTAATTTTTTTATAGTTCAAATAATGATATTCAACCAGAAATAGTTCAATAAAAACTTGTAAATCCGGTTCTGCTCTTCCGCCATTTTAGTGAGTGCAAAAGCCACGCCTACCGGTCCCACTTTTGTATATCAAAAATAATACATATGACGTATCCTTACGTTGCCTTATCATTGTTACAAATGTAAGATATTAAGAAAATGAAATGGCAAAAACTATCGAATGATACTTCCGCACAGGTGTGAAAGTAAATGGCGAACACAGAACACCCAGAACACTTACTCTTAGAACGGTAACTCCCATGTTAGAAAACGGTGATAGAATTTCAGCGCCACCTGGTGGACGTAGTTGATTTTTTCCAATTAAGTTCTTATCGGGTAAGAGGCCATATGAAAAAAGAAGAAGAGAAGAAAAAAAAGCGCGGGAATTTAGGCATTCCAAACTGAATGGCTACCAGTGGGTTTTGACGGGTTATGATATGGCAAAATTATGGTAACCCTGTAGGCCTGGTGATTTGACAAGATCAATGAAATAGATAGTTACATAGATTGATCATCCATATTTTTCAAAATAAACATAAGCTTATGCCTTAAAGTAAAAATATAAGCAATTATTTTTTTTAAATACCTAAAGGCTAAAAATTGGTTTTAAAACACATTTTTGCTAAACCAATTCAAATTAATAAATATTTACCAGACAATATGGCCGCTAGAAACGGGTTTGAAAATAGGTCCCCCGGGGACCTATTTTCAAACCGTGTGAGTACTCATTTCTCTCAAGATTCTCATCAGAAATGTCATACGTCAATGTGGAAACGCTGTTTTTAAAGGCCTCGAGGATTAAAATTCTTAGGAGGATATTAATTATCTCTAAATAAACCGTGAGAAACAATCAGTGAGTTTACACTGGCCCTTAGGACCCTAAAAATACTGTTTTACGTTGACGTATGACATTTCTCTCGAGAGAAATGAATTCTCTCGACTTTGAAAATAGCACCCCAGCTTTGAGCAATCATATAACTATATTAGAGATGGGTAAAGCAAGCTATTTTTAACAAGCAGTGACAACCGCTTCTACTACAACAAAAAAGCAGTGACAAAATACTGCTATTTTTTGGAGCAGCTTTTTGATAATTTTCATATTTCACACCTGGCGATAACGATAAGTTTTTTATGGCTATCCGCGTTTAGTAAAATTGTTCTATCAATAAATTAATGATTATGGAATTAATAATTTCCTATAAAATTATTTTATTTTCTTGAAGATTGGTTAGAACTTACCAAATTTACCTTAAAGTAAATAAGATGATTGATATTATTAGTTTTGTCTTTAGTTATATCGAGGATTCACCTATTGAGTTACTACTTAAAGATTAACATTTTGCATTCTGTTTCTATTTCAACAAAAGTGCTTCTAAGTTGTTTATATTGAATATGAATAGAATAGACAAAATAAGTCTATATAAAAAAAGAATTTAACAAAATAAGAACGTAGTAGTTTTCCTTTTTTCTCAGAACCTGCTCCGAAAAGTAACAACTTTTTGGTGAGTCGTGGAGCACTTTGCTCCAGTGACAAGGAGAAAGCAGTGACAAAACCTGCTACTGTGAAATAGCAACCCATATCTAAACTATATATGTATCATTGACCCTGTTAATGACAACACGACAACAGGGTTGCCATATCTAAACTGTCATTACCCACTGGTAGCCATTTGGACAGGTCGTTGGAATGCCTAATTTTGACAGTAAAAATTACTCGCATTAAAAACTGTTCACACAAACTGCATTTTTGTGTTATAGCGATATTCGCTATAATAAAGCAAAAATTGAATTGAATGAACCAATCTTAACTTGACTAACAGTTTTTACATAAAAAAACAAGAATAATCAGAAAAATAATTTATTATAAATATATATACAAATCCAATATTTTAAAATGTAGTGAGCTTTATATCATCCAAGACGAGTGTAATTTCAATTCAAGTACTAAGGAGAACGTTATTCTTTGACCGGTTTCGTCCTTACTAGGGCTCATCAACAAGGAATAGACGGTCTCGACACCAGTCTCTAATGAAGTCTGCTAGATTGAATACTTTCACTCTTATACATCAAAGGTGGTTGAGAGAATGTAGGTAGTCGCCAAGTGAAAAATGATAACGCCATCTGCACTTAATAAGCAAAATGAAAGCCTTCTACAGATTTTACAATGAAAATACTGTCGAATTAATTGCTACTTGACCTCGTACTTGACGCTATACATTCTGCAATGTAGAAAAGGTACAAAAACAAAGTTATGTATGTTATGTTATGATAATTTAAGATTCTGACCTATTAATTCTATTATACAGGGAAACTCACAATACAACGAACGTCTTATTTCGTGACGTAAATTTTAAAATATGGAAATAAACAAAAGTGTTTTATTAATGTCACTTGTCATCAATTCTGGATTGTCTACCTACTAGGCATTCCAGACTGAATGGCTACCAGTGGGTTTTGACAGGTTATGATATTGCAAAATTATGGCAACCCTGTAGGCCTGGTGATTTGACAGATAGTTACAAAGATTGATCATCCATATTTTTCAAAATAAACATAAGCATCACTTGGCCACTCGTAAACGACCCGCTTTGAGCAATCTATATAACTATATACGTATCATTGACCCTGTCACCCTGTCACGAAAAAGGGTTTCCTTCTGCAATGGACTGTAACTATTCAATAGGCGGTTCCTGTACCAAACTTCTGGATTTTGAATGCACTTCCACTAGTTGAAATTAAAAATGTACCTTCCTGTTACTTATTTATTTAAAACTTGATAAACTATAACATTTTTAAACACTGTAATTAAATTAAATTAATAGTACCTACCGTAAACACACAAAAAAAATTGTTATGTTAAAAATTTATTTTTGAATTAAAAATTTTGAAAATTTGTGAGAAAAATTGAAAAATTAAAATTTTACAGAAAAAAATATTTTTGAGAAATTTTGAAAATATGTAAAAAAATTTCAAGTAACTAAATACAGTTTATAGAAGCACCATAAAAATGGAACTATACCGTTATTTCTTATTTTCTTTTTTCGTATAGATGTGGCTTCAGCTGAATTTATTTTTCGTAAAGTTGTAGATAAAGTTGATTTTTTATTTTCATTCGCAATAAGTTGCAAATTTGAGATCGCATAACAATGACAACGCGATTTTAAACAGATGTTTCAACTTGTCAATAATGTTTTTTTTTTGTGGAACGCAGCGCACACTTGCTTTTTTTATTTTCGATCAGCTTCCTCATGTTGATACCACAGTGTGGGACAGTGCCAATTTAGGAATAAATTTATATTCAGTTATGTTTGATTGTAGATGGGCTCTTAATTAACTCAAAAGCAAAAAGTCAATATGAAAAGTCTACCACTCTAGTAGGCTGCTTTCATAATAAATGTCTCTACCAAAGTGGCCGTAAAGAAAATGCGACCAAAGAAGGTATAATTTAGAAATGTTAATAAATCCGTAAAATGTGATTTATGTGACAGTCACCCAAAAATAAACTTTAAATGTACTCATTTTTATTGATTTTACATACATACTTACTACTTTATAGGATACGAATCTTACCAGATCTTCAGAACATCACCACCAACGGTACAGTCACGATATCTCTAAAAGCAGTACAAAATACCAACGAAATAATCTTCCATTTGCATGACATCGAAATTTTAGAAGATTCCGTCAGCGTAAAATCAACCAAATCAGATTCTAGTCCTTTAAAAATAAGCAGCCAGGAATATCTTCCAGGTGATAAATATAAGATAAGTTTAAAAGATTCGTTACAAGCGAATGAAAAATATGAACTGCATTTGGAATTCACTGGAGTGTTGAATCAACAATTACAAGGATTTTACCGGGGTTCATATAATGATGCCAAAGGACGAGAAAGGTAAAATTTAAAAATTATTATTCTTTATGCACTTGCATAGCGGTTTATTTTATTTCATATACTTCCATTTTTTCTTGATCTAAAGTCTGTTCCAATAGAGAAGAGTACAGCCGCATCACAGTGGTATGACTGAAAGTGTTATCATAGTCAGTGCCATATTGTAAATGTGCTAAATCAGTGATGAAACAATTTTATATATAAAGTTTGTATAGTAAAAGGATTTAAAGAAACCGGTCTCGGCCTCCATAAAATAATAATAATTTGTCTGCCTTGGCCATGGATAATTATTCCTCTTAACACCAATAAGTTTTTTATAGGGCATGGTTTTATATAATTTATCATTTAAAACACACAACACTAACTTATAAATAGTCTTAAAATATTTAAAAATCACAAATATTGTACAAATAAACTCTTCCAAACACAACATCAAACTTCAAAGACATTTTTTCTAAACGACTTTAGTAAACATTTACCAATAATGAACCGCAAACTATTTGTACATATACATTTTCATCCGCATCCATAATGTAAAAACGACGTAAACCAAATTTCTTCACGCGTTCCATTTAGAGAGGTATAAATGAATGAGTTTTAAAGATAAATTGTCATACTCTTCCACCAGAATATTAAAATTAAAAATAATAATAATAATAATCTCTTATATTTTCTTTTAGAATTTTTGCAAGCACCCAATTTTCACCAGTAGACGCCAGAAAAGCTTTTCCTTGCTTTGACGAACCATCATTTAAGGCTAAGTTCGAAATTATTTTAGGGCGACCTTCCCACATGTCTACTTTGTCAAATATGCCATTACTTAAATCTACTCCTTTTACGTAAGTAGAAAATTTCGTAAAAATAGTTCCGACTACAGCAACTATCAATTAACTTTTAGAAAAATAACCGAAAGGGTAAAACGAAGCAGCAAATCAAGGAAAAATAAAAGAAATAACACAGACGACAACGCAATATCCGATTTGTGGTATTGGGACGAATATCCAGAAACTCCTATAATGTCTACATATCTGGTGGCATTTATGGTTCATGACTTTAAAAACAACTCCGGCACTGATCCATTGATGAAATTTTGGGCCCGAGAGGAACTTGTATCCCAGACCAAGTACGCTTCCGAAATTGTTCCTAAATTACTTCATTTCTTTGAAAAATACTTCGATATAAATTTTCCGCTTAAGAAAATCGACTTGGTGGCTGTACCTAATTTTGGGTTTAGTGGTATGGAGAACTGGGGACTCATTACTTTTAGGTAAGGTTCAACGGTTTATATTAATCAAACAGCTGATTAGAATTCGCAGTCTAATTCAAAAAATTCCATATCCATGATTAATGAAACATTGTAGTTTTCCAATATCCACTCAAAGTTTTAATAATACTACTTATTACTATTTATTAATACTATTTATAATTACTATTTATTAATATTATAATTACTAATAATATTTATTTAAAAATACTACTTATTAATTCTATTTATTTTAAATTAAATTTAATTAATAATAATACTTATTAATACTATTTATTATTACTATTTATTTATATTAATACTATTTATTAATACAATTTATTAGTAGGTACCAACGACGAAAAACTACTAGACTAATTTAGTTTACAAAAATCGAATTGTATACATTCACGGTGTCATCCACGTAGTTGTCAAATTATTATGAGTATGGAAGAGTATTGTTACAAGGATTGTTTATGGTTAAAATTCGGTGTTGACTAAACATAACGGCTCTAAAGCGCACAAAAGTCTTTCAAAATTACATTAGGTAGGTATATGCGCATTCTTAATGTCAATTTTTATCAGTTTAATGTATGTTTTCTCTTTGCAACTAATATAGTTGTATAGTTATTTTCAGGAAAGTACGCAATTAATTTTAAAGTATTACCGCAGTGTAAAGCAAGCGTAGTAGACGTATGCGTAGTAGACGTAAATACTGATTCATTCTAAAACTCATGCTTGCTCCTTACATACAAATACCCGCACAAGCCATCCTCTCTCAAATGCGGTAGCCGATGCGACAGCACTATCTGCGTAATAATAAACACAATCTGAATGATTGCAGATTGCTTAATTATGAATGAATGGATTAGTCTTTTTTTGTGGAGGGGGTCCTCTAGGAACCCAGGTGCTATGTTCAATCGCGCCTGGAAGTGTGAGGCTCCGGCTTTTGGGTGCAGTGCCGGCCTACCCACTAAAACCCTTCCTCTACAACCTCAGCATCCCGGCATCGTCTTTTTGAGACATTCTTCGGAATACTAAGTGGCCTTCAAAATTTTCTCAGCCATTTATGTCCTTTATTATTGTGCTTGTCTTAATATTTCCTCTTCCGCCTTCTTGTGTCTTCCAAAATCACTTATCCCCAGGCTGTTCTCACTTAAGACCGTTCCTATAGTACCCCACGCCCTTTGCCTTTCTATCACCCAGCGGTTCCAGTGGAAGATTGTGTGTGCCAGGGTATCGATTGCCTAACAATACATGCATACATATGTGGCTCTCTTGCCAATTTTTTTCGTATATGACATGAAACAACCGTGTTCTGTTAAAATTTGTGTAATATGATATAATTCTGGCATTTATACAAACTTACCACATCTCTAAATATGCCCTTTGTTCACTAAGCTTTATCTGTGGTATCCCGCCATTCGTTCTGCCACCTAGTTAGGGTAACCTATCGGTCCAAGTCCTTTGCCTTTCTACCGTTGACCATTCTGTAGACTCTTTATCTTTCGAATACCTGTAAGTGGTTCGGTATCGTACCTGTGATGACCTGAATTGCCTTTAATGAAGTAGTTCGATAGTCGCTGGCGACTCTCAAAGCGATCTTCCATTGAACCTTCTCCATCCTTTTCCGGTATGTTGCTATATTTATATTTATTCATTGTCCCCATATGGATGATTCATACAGTTTTCCGCCCAGCAGCTCCTATTTCCTACTTTGAGGGCCTCTGCTATTTCTCAGTATACTAAAGAGAGATGCCGCTCTTGCCTCTGGTTTGTTTGGGGCTATTTTGTTTGCCGAAGCTCTCTATATCGTCTAATAGAAACCCCAGGTACTTTACCACTCTTTGAGGCTTTAATTAAATTTCTTTAAATGAGAATCGCTGCCTTCCCCTGTCAGATTTTTTTCTATTGACCTTTAAGAATTATAACCTCTGTCTTTTCTGGGGCTAGTTCTAGCTTGTAGCTTGTTAGCCATCTGGTGATGCACCTCAGCGCTAGTTTCGCCCTATTTCCCAGCTGCTCCTGATCACTGCCCCTGATCAGAATGGCTAGGTCGTCTGCAAAGCTTGTTATTTTCGTTCCTTTTTCTAGGTTGGTTCGTATTACCCCGTCGCGTCGTACAAGATATTTCAAAGGGTTGGTCCCAGTATAGACCCCTGAGGAACTCGTTTCCTTATCTATCGTTATTTCTCTGTCTTGCAGGTAACTTCCCAGTATATTTCGTAGGTAGATCGACATTTCCTTCTTCCTATGTTCTTCTATGATAAGGTCCCATGAGGCCGTATTAAATGCGTTTCTTATGTCTAGCGTTAATTATGCTATCCACCTTTCGCCTCCTTCTGCCACTTTCCTTCTTATCTCCTCTACTGCATAGAGTGTGGATTTTCCTGGTCTGAAACCAAACTGATTATCTGACAATCCCCCCTTCTATCGATTTCTTCATCCAATCTCAGCTTTAACAATCCCTCGAAAATTTTACTGATTTCATTAAGTAGACATATTGGCCTATACGATGTTTGTTGGGTGTCATGGTGGTTTCCCGGGTTTTTGAATGAGCACCAGCCTTGCTCTCTTCCACTCCTTTGGAAATGTCTGCTTCATCAAGTAGTAATTGTATGAGTAGAATTTTACCTATTTCTTTCAAAGCTTCCACAGGGATTTTGTCAGGTCCAGGGGTTTTTCCATTTTTAAAGAGAGTTACTTCCACCGGCAGGTCTATTGTTCTTGTTCTATTTTCCACTTGTGGAAAAATGCGATTGGCTATTTCTAGCTTTTGTGTTGTAGATAGCTCCGACTGGATACTGAGTCTTCCTGTTACTATTCTGTAATCATCGCCCCATATATCGTCGTTAAGCTCATTGCTTATGTCTTCCCACTTTTTCTTCTTCGCGCTAATTATCAATTTTTTCAGCTCTTTTTTTGTTCTTTTTGTAACTGTACCTTACCTGTACCCAGACAGCACACGACATCTTAAAGACGTCTGTTTTATGTCGTAGTTATGACTGAACGCCTAAAGACCTAAAAAAGACGTTCTAAAGACGTCTTTATAAAGACGTCTTTTAGGACACATAAACAGACGTTTTAAAGACGTCTTTTGAATGCCTATCTATTTAAAAAATATAAAAAATAATGGTAACTTTAAAAAAAATACTGGCTTACTTGTCGTTTCTAATTTCACAAAATATAAATTTATTTTTAAATTTTTTTTATTAATTTACATAATTTACTTATTTTTTTAATTTATTTACGAGCATTTGTTCATTAGAGTAAGTAAATATTTGATAACATAAAAATAATAATAATAATAAATATAACTCTAAATAAAATTAACAATTAAAACATAAGACAAATTGAATTACGCGCTCTTTTACCTTGACCGGAACATGGTTCAACGATCGAAGCGAATGTTTTTATTATGCTTTGTCTTTTTTCAACAGTAGAATTTAAACAAGGACGTGTATCTGAATGTGAGTATTATTGGGGTTCCGTGGTTCGTGGCGATCTGAGTTGTCTTTTAGTTGTCATTTGTCGTTGATGTTGAAGTTGAAGATGAACGCCGAGAGGTTAGTTTTTGTTGGTTATTCGTTGATTTTTTATTTGTGTCTTGTGCTGTGGATTATTGTGAATTTATAAGCATAAAAGTTTACTGCATATACTGAAAAACCAAATAGAAGAACCCTTATTAGTGTTTTAAGTACGTCTAGGCGTCTAGAGCTGACTTAGAAGCTTAATCGGATGTAAATATATCTGAATTAAGAGTTGAAAGTACAGGAAGTTTGCCATTCTTTGACCACCCTTAACCCACACTATCTACTGAAAATCCTATTAAAGCGAATTTGACAGTGAGCTATAATGCATAATATTTTACACAGCGCAGTTAAAATTATTGCAACCCAGACTGGCTCAGAAGAGCATCTGACCGAAGATTAACCACTAACGGAGGAAGAATCAAAAAAAAAATAATTTGTAATATTACTTTTTTTAACGAAATGTTTCAGTGTTTTGTAAATAATAATGTTTATAGAAAATATGTGTTTTATTTTGTATAGAAGAAATTTACAGAAGCTTTTAAAACTAAATCCCAGAGTACGTCTTACCAATGTCGAAAACCAGACATATTCAAGATGTCTTAAGAACGTTACCTTTTGTAACATCAGACGTCTTAAAGATGTCTTTAAGACGTCTGGCCGGCGTCATAAGACGTCTTTTAGACGTCTGTTATGTCTCTGACAGACTTCTTATGGACGTCTTAAAGATGTCATTGTGCTGTCTGGGTAGCCGTATATTCTAGATGTACTATCTCGTACTTGTTTGTATGATCCTTCTTAGCGTCGTAGTTTCCCTTAGCTTGGTTACAATGTCAGTGTTTCACCATATGAGTACTTTTTCAGGCTGGATCTCTGTCTGTTTACGCTGTCCTTATACGCGCCATAAATAAGACTGATGCAGTCCTCCGGAGGCGTAAATAGAAAACCTACTTCAATACGTCCCCAGGCAGTGACCAATTAGACTAGGGTTTTTATGCGTTAATCGTGCAGAAAAGCTACTTGAATATATTATCGGATGGTGCCATATTTGAGTAGGATTGCGCGTTATTATGCTGCCTAAACATGCGGAAATACTACTTCAGTACAGCCCGTGGTTTCTTGCATAAAAAAACATATGTATTTGCATAGTTTATTAATATTTGTTGTCATACTGTAATTGATTTTTAATTATAAAGGCAATATTATGGGGTTGCATTTTGGCACCTTAACCGAAATAGGTATCTTTAGCTTTTCGGCGTGAGGTAGTTTTAGGTTGTTCTTTGGGAAATTACTGTAGAAATAAGTTTTATTTAGTAATAATTGATAATCTTACATGTAAGTGTGGCGCTATTTGCGTCGTTTATTAATGTTTTTTGGCACCCTGTAAATTATTCTTAAAATTGAATGCTATATTAATGGGTCGCTTTGTGGCGCCTTGGCGTTCGAATTTCGCAGGACGTCCAGCTTAAATTCTTCCTCCTGAAATACCTCTAGCTTTTCGGCTTGCAATAGATGTTGGTTGTAATTTATTTTTTTTTATCTACTACCGGCTGTTTTGTGACACACTTTTTGTTTATAAACAACCGAATACCGAGCCGCTGCGTGTTATAAACATAACCAAACATAACCACTAAAGGAACACTTGCCGTACTAAAGTAGCAATTACAGAATATTACGTCGCGTACAGACCGGAAAATCCTACTCCAATACGGCACCATCCGGGGCTATATTCAAGTAGGTTTTCTGCATGAAAAACGCATAAAAACCCTAGTCTAGTTGGTCACTGCCTGGGGGACGTATTGAAGTAGCTTTTCTATTTACGCCACCGGAGTTCTAGTGGCTGTTGCCGATCTTAATTGTATGGATGCTCTAAATACCTCCAAATTTACTGTTTCCACTAAATGAGCCCTCAATGTCAAAACAGATATATACAGTGATCGCTTAGGCTTTCAGTTCACAGTACATTCTAGACTTTTATTTTTCTACTTATCCTTCTCGTAGATATCGTTACGTCGATAAATTACTTCTGGCTTCCCCTAACGAAAGTGGGTTTTCGGCCCGTGTTATGAGCTAGCAGATCCCATGTTGAAATTCCTTCTGTAATATAGTCGCCTCTCTCGTCACTGGTTGGTGAACCTCACTTAGGAGATTTGCCGTTCAAGTCACCCTTAATAATGTATTTACTCCCTGTGCCATTACACATATCCAACATCCTATCTATTGTATCCGTGAAGAAAGTCATACCAGAGTTTGGTGAGATGTATCCCGGCACCATATGGAATTTGTCCAGTTTTATCCCGAAAATGGATTAGTCTAGTAGTTTTTTGTCGTTGGTAGGTACCTACTATTAATTAATATTATTTAATAATACTATTTTTTAATACTATTTATTAATACTCTTTATTAATACTCTTTATTAATACTAATTAATAATACTATTTATTAATTCTTTTTATTAATACTTTATATTATATTATTTATTAATACTGTAAATAATATTTTGATCAATACTCCGAGAAGACACGACCAGAAATAAAATTCATTTTATTTTATTTTTGTTTATTTTAAAATTACAGGGAATCTAGTCTATTGTATGATCCCAATTCATCCACTAAGAACGATAAAAGAGGCGCAGCTGGTACAATAGCCCATGAAATAGCCCATCAGTGGTTTGGCAATCTCGTGACACCCAAATTTTGGAACGATCTGTGGCTCAAAGAAGGTTTCTCTGATTATATGAAGTTTCTTGGATTAAACCATGTAAGTTTTTTAATTGATCTATTTCATCATCTACAATAGTTATTGTTATGTGAATTAGTAGAGGCAGATTTGGTAATAATCAAATGTAGTCATGATGTCAAAATAGAGTTGTTCAAACTATAAAAAATTCGGACGACAAAACTTCTCAAACACAAAACTTCACAATCACAGAAGATCGAGTTATAAAACTTCGACAATACAAAAGTTCGAATGACAAAATTTCGAAAATAAAAATTTTTGACATTGAAAAGTTCGAAAGTTAAAAAATATCGAAACCAAAAAGATCGAAATGAGATATGATTGAAAATACAAATGATCAAAATCACATATGTTTAAAACCACTTATGATCGAAATGATATATGATCAAAATGGTATCAAAGATATTACGGAATTAGTAAATTAGTGGTTTTTTATTATTTTTTTAATTTATGTATATTTTTTTGTGAAACTTACTGCGATGGCTCCAGACCGCAAAGATTAGGTAAATTAGTTGTTTTTTAATACATAAAATGAGAACAATTACAAATAAACTTAACTAATTTACCTAACCTCTGCGGTCTAGAGCCACCGCAAGTTGCTTCGCAAAAAATATACATAAAATTAAAAAAAAATTAAAAAACTAATTTAGTAATTTCCTAATTTAATTCTTTCGATCTTATACCATTTCGATCATATATCATTTCTATAATTAGTACTTTTAAACATATGTATTTTCGATAATATCTAATTTCGATTTCGATGATTTGTTCTAATTTTGATCATTCTTGGTTTCGATCATTTCTCACTTTCAAACTTTTATCATTCGAACTTTTGTATGTTTGGAGCTTTTATCATTCGAACTTTTGTAGTTTCGAAAAATTTTTAATTAAACGTTTTTGAAAATTTGAATATTTGTTGTTTGAAAAAATTTCACCAACTCGTCAAAACATACATACTCAAGAAAATAATATCAATGAATATACTATCCATTTTAGGCTGAACCAAAATGGAACGCTATGGAAGAATTTATTTTTACCACGGCTGCTGCTATGGCTGCAGATTCATTAGAAACTTCCAGAAAATTATCCTTTGATGAAACTAAAAATAGTCCTCAAATTAGACAGCTGTTTGACTCCATAACATATTCTAAAGGTAATAGTTTTAATTTTAAAATATTATAATTTGACTCCTCAAACCTGCTATAAAATATTTTATTTGCCTTTGGGGTACATGCAGAAAATGAAATTAAAATAATGAAATTAAAATACTGAAATTAAAATACTAAAATTAAAATACTGAAATTAAAATAATGAAATCATGTTATGGTGGGTCAAGGTACTTTGAAATCGAAGAGATTGTAGTTTCCTCTATTTTTGTTCCAGAAACTTTAGTTTCTGTTGAACAGTTCGCTTTCATAATATTTTCCACAGAAACCACTGGAATTGGCACTTCTAACATTTCATTTAGTAAAGGTGATCTATTGCTAATTCTATTAATAATATTAATAAAGGTTTCTGACATATCCAGTCTAATTACACCTGCGCTATCTTTATGCGAGATCCAGTTTATTAAATATATTTTCTTTGTCACCTCTGGTTCCGGTTCTTCTTATGATATGACTCTCTAAAAAATTATACCAATTTAAAAAGTTGATTAATATTAAACAAAAATTATTTAGTTGACAACATTCGGCTCTTCCATATTGACAAAAAAAAACATCGTGAACGAACGTCCACCTTCTGTCTGTCGAAGCTAAATCTAAAGATTTGTCTTTTTCAAGCAGCTCTTAGCTCTTGGTATTTTTAAAATTTCTAAATATCTGCTTTTGTCTTCTTTGTAATAAAAAGTACCTCAGAATTGTAGGCTTTTATTTGCTCAAAATACAACCGTACAACTGACAATAAAAAGTAGATAATAACAGTTATATGGTCCATTCATTTAGTGTACATCATATTCAATTAAGAGGAATAAACTATTTGACCAAGGAACTTTTTATTTATATAAAATTCTACTACGGTCAGGAAATTATCCTTCAGAAATGTGAATGAGATGTTTGTTCCATGCCAGAAAGTAGGTGTTCTGTGAAAACAAGATTATTGATTTATTCTTTATTTATGCTAGCATGAATATATAAGTGATTAGTGTGTTTAATTTCTGTTTAGAATATAAATTTAGGTTGATTTCCAGTCTCAAAACTAAAATTTAAGACTTGATGACATTGTCATTTTATCACATGACCAATAAAATCTAGAGCGTTTGTTTATTACACCTACATTCAGATCTAATTCTCTATCACGTGATAAAAAATTCACATCTCAGATGCATCCGATGTGGATATTCAAACGCGGCAAAAATGCCATGGAGGTAGAATATTGCAGGAGATACCACATTCCTTTAAACATATATTCTGAAAGTGACATCGGTGGACGGGGTTAAGTGGACGTAAGTGAAGCATCAATATGGCGGCCATACCAGGTCCAGACACTGTGTTTTTCAATCTGGATAGAATGCCCAAGCATATAATAAAATGATTTTTTTTCGTTAGAGTCGAAAGCAGATATATAAACAATTAGTATAATATAATTTTCGCTTGTATATTTGGATTTAGTGAATTTTGTTTCAGAACTATAACAATTCATATGGAAAACTACATATTTAAACAAAAAAATTTAAGTATTTAAACAAAAACTATTTAATTATTAAAAAAACTATTTAACTAATTAAATAAAAATTGTACATTAAAAGTAAATAAAAAAAATTGGTAGTTATTGCATATTTTAACACAAATTTTAAGAGGATTAAAACTTTTTTCATGAAAAAAAAATTTTCTTTAAAAATCGAGTATTTTTGGGTAAAAAGTGTTATTGTAAAAAAGAAAAAATATAATTTATGTCTACTTTTACCCTAAATCTAAAAGTAATTTTACAAAAAAATCCCGTACTGGACACGAATCTTAAAATTATTTGCACAAAAATAAAACAAACGCCATCAGTACAAAATAAATTTATTGCCCTTTAAATATTATAATTTTATTGCAATAAATAAAAAAATATATTTTAAATAAACTGGACACAGATGAAATATTTCTTTATTGTATTCACTCAAAGACGAAAAACTACCAGACTAATCCTTTCATTCATTCATTATTAAGCCCTTTTTTATTGCAATCATTCAAACAGTGCTTATTATTACACAAACAGAGCTATCGCATCGGCTGCCGCATTTGAAAGAAGGAGACAGCTGCTAATTTGAGTGGGGATGGTTTGTGTGAATCTATTTATCTGTTTTATGTTTTTATGTTTTATGAATGAATCAGAATTTACGTCTAATACGCTTGCTTTACACTGCTGTCACACTTTAAAATTAATTTCGTGCCTTCCTTATAAACACTATACATTTATAATAGTTACAACGAGAAAACTGAGAATAACTGGCATTAAGAATGCACATATACTTCCCTAATGTAATTTTGAAAGCCTTATGTGCGCTTTAGAGCCTTATGTTTAGTCAATACGGAATTATAACCCTAAATAATCCTTGTAACCATTACTCTCCCATACTCGCTTATAATAATTTGACAACTACGTGAATGACACCGTGAATGACAAAATTGGTCCAGTAGTTTTTCGTCGTTGTATCCACTATTGTTTGACATTTTAAATTTATTTATGTATATTCTATTCTTAAATATGACTTATAACAATTAATTTAAAAAATATTCAGTAATAAATTCCAAAATAAGACCATAAGCATTAAAGGTTAAATATTTGCTAGAAGAATGTTATGAAGGGTAAATACAATACCAGTAAAAATTCAAAAAGTCTGTGGTCTTGATTTTGAATATCCTTTTAATTTCTATGTTGTATTTATGAGTAGAGTATTATAATAATAAGAATAATAATGTTTATTGTTAATCAAGAAGAGTTCCAAGTTGTTATATAAATAACAATAAGTAATTAGATACATGATTACTTTTTACCTGTGTTATACCAATAGTAGGAATAGCATCTTCTTTTAGACGAACATAACATTTAGAACTTAAATAAGGGGTGTTTATTAAGGTGATTGAAGCAGAATACACTATATTTTGTAGATACCCAAGAACTTCTAGCTACAAAATGTATATTTTTCTTACGTTTTTCTGGCTCCCTTGAAAATCTGCAATAAATAAATAAAATTGTGTTTATTTATTTTCTAATATTTACTTATTACCGTCAATGAAAAGAAATCTTTTAATTATTCTGAAAACTGTGTCAATATTTTATTTTAGTACCACTCTGGCACTGTTTATATTTACCTAAGAAATTTTATTTTTGAAATTTTCTTGTTATCCATACCATTATTACTTGTACAATTGCGCTTGGCATCCGTCGTCACTATTCTTTTAATGTTTTTGAGATGAATAGTTTATATAAACGTATATAATCATAATGAGATTAAATAATACATTAAAATAGAAACTGTCAGAAATGAAAGAAGTCTAGTATCAATATAGCCGACGTGGTGATACTTTTAACCTCGCGATTGCGTCTCCTCCCTATTTTACCTCCATGCAAAATGCCCATATGCTATAAACCCCCCTAAACCCCTGGGCAGAAGCCTGTCGCTGTCTCATTTTGAATTATGAAACAAGACAAACCAGCTTATTTCAGTACCTAATCCGTTGTAAACTGTATGAATGGACTTATAAATGATCACAGTAAATAACAGTGGCATAGTAGAAAGTATGTATATATGTGTGGATAATATTATTTATATAACATTAATATTACTGACGAAATGGCAAGTTTTTATTTGTTATTAAAAGTGCGAATGCTCATTTTCAAAAAGGCACCGTGAACATTCATTTTGCAGTTGAAAAATGCAAATTAATTGTTGATTATTATGAAACAGAAATCTTGATTTTCAAATTCTTTTTAACTTGTCAAATTTATCTTCTATGAAACAACTTTCAAAAAAGTTCGAAAGTCAAAAGTTTGCTTGGAAAATGTTTCGAAAGTACAAAAATTCGAGTAACAAAAGTTCGAATGACAAAATTTCGAAACTACAAAAGTTCGAAACCAAAAATGATCGAAATCGCATATGATTGAAATCAGAAATGATCGAATTTAGATTTGATCGAAATCACATATGTATGAAAGTACTAATGATCAAAATGATATATGCTCGAAATTATATATGATCGAAACGGTATAAGTTCGAAAGACATTATATTATGAAATTAGTAAATTAGTTTATTTCTATTTTTTGTTTGTTTTTCATTTAATATATAATTTCTTTGCGAGGCAACCCGTGATGGCTTTTTGTTTTAATTTTTCCCATTTTATGTAATTTGGTTTAATGAATCTTATTCCCTTGATGAGTCCATGAATTAAAATATCTTTAAGGATAAATGTCCTGACCGTACTAGAATTTTATATAAATAAAAAGTTCCTTGGTTTTTTTCGGTCAAATAGTTTTAATTTTTTTATAATTTAAACACTACATATGTTTCGGAAAATACAATTTATGAAAAGTATTCGTCCCCATACTTTTTTTTTAGTTTTACTGGGCTAAGACTGAATTAAAATTTTTAGGTGCTGTTATTGTGAGAATGATGAACAAATTCTTGGGCGAGAAAACTTTCAAAGAGGGTTTAATCAGATATTTGAAAAAGTACCAATACAGTAACGCGGATCGCAAAGATTTGTTTGCAATCCTTACAGAAGAAGCGCAAAAAAACGAAATTTTAAAACCTGACGAAAGCGTTACAACTATCATGAATTCATGGACGGATAAAGCCGGGTATCCGGTGATTAATGCTATTGCTAACTATGAGCAACAAAAATTAACAATTTCACAGGTAAGTAATAACAACACAAAGAACATAGTATTTTTTATCAATAAATAGGTGGTGTCAGTCTCGACAATAATCAGATTTGAAAGTGTTTTTTATACATTTTCTACGTCTTCTTCACTTTTTGAACATATCTTTATGTTATTATCAGTTAATTTTTATGCATGAGTGAGTAAGTTGACTTTAAATCACTGAACCTACCTATGGGGCCTCAGTACGCCTGTGCGTATGCAAATTTCTTCTAACTGAAAACCCTTTTTTTTTTCAAAATGTTCTGTTTAACTGTAGTGCTTTGAATATTAATGTTTTTAAAATGGTATGCATTTCTTATGGAGCTTATTTTATGCACTCCAAAACTCTTATACCCTTACTGATTTTACTACATTGATGGCTATGCTTGTCAACTGTAAAACCATAGATATTATTTCTATATTGCTGTAACTTTTAAAAGTCAAATTATTTAAAAATTTTGGAATGTCCAATAAAAAAAATAGTTATTTGAGTAGTTATTTATTGTAAGTGAACGTGGATAAGTGAAAATAATAGTTTCAGAATATTAAATATATATGGATTTTCCACGAATAGCATACATTATGATGAAGTAATGATAATTTTTTCACGACCTTTAACGAACTCCAGAATGGAACTTGTATATGAATTTTATGGACATGTTTATTTTAATTTTATGTTTGATTACCTTCCTGTATTTCTTATTTTCTATGTTCAATTAAAGTAGTTTTATGTAACATAAGTTAATTATTTTAATATAGTTTTTTTATCACACAGAAATTATGAAAGATGCTGATAAACTTAAGTTATAACAGCCCAAATATGACTCATTCAATTGGTAGGTCTGACTTTGTAGTTTAAAATTTAAAAGTAATACAAAACTCTTTCTTCTTAAAAATGTGTTTCTATAAATATTATTTCGAAACCTCGGGCTTTATATAATTGCCTCATTTGTCCCCCTTAAGTCATGTGCATTATTATCTTCATTTGTATAAAGTAGATTATACTAAGTTTACAATACGTACTGCCAAAATCAAACGTTCCATCCTGCTTTGTTTATATTGGAGTGAATAGTAAATAGCGCTCGCTCATGCAGAAAATGCGACACAGTATCAACGTTGCTAGTCTGCTAGTCACAGGTCGTCACGTTACCGATCTGTAACTGGCAAAGTCGATACTATATACTTTTCTCTTCTACACATATTATATTTCAAATATGTCTTTCAGAAACGGTTTTATTTCAAAGAAAAGGACGAAAAATCATCGTGGTGGGTGCCTTTATCGTTTACTACAAACGCCACCGACAATAAACCTAATTTTACGAATACAATACCAAAATTCTGGCTAAGAGGAGAATATGAAATTGAAGAGGAAGTTAATTTGACGAATTATGACTGGTACCTTTTAAATATGGAACAAACGGGTAAGAAACATAAGATACAAGCTCAATCGCACATGGGAGAGTGTTTAATGATTTCAACTTAAAAATTAAATCAAGAACCTCGTTCATTTGTGAGTTATCATTCAATTTTATCTGAAACCCTATCTATATCCATTTAAATTTTAGATAGCCTATATATTTGTGAAAATTAAAACAAAATCATGTCTAATATTTTGTTAATTTTTTAGGTTATTTCATCGTGAACTATGACGATCGAAATTGGGAAAAATTAACTGAAAATATCATGAACTTTCCACCTTTGATTAGAGCACAATTGATTGGTGATTCAATGGATCTAGCTAGAGCAAACTTACTAGATTATGACATACCTCTAACGCTTATCGCCAATATGGCAATTCAAGATGCTGAAATTATGTATATTCCAACTTCGGTAGCCTTTAGTAAATTAAAATTTTTAAGGAATAAGTTATTCGATACACCCGCTTTTGGCTTATTTGAGGTAATTTTCATACTCAAAACGTTTTAAACAAAATCAGATTAAAGTTTGTTTTTTTAATACGGCATTTAGAAGTAGAAAATCTATACGGTACAAACTGTACTATTTTAAAAAATTTGTCTAGGAACACGTTCCTACTTGTAGGAGAGTCAGAAACACTTTATAATACACATTTGAGTTTTTACAAATTTTTCGTTAATTCTTGTCTTGCGTATGGAAACACTTTGCCGCAGACGCACCAGCAATGGAGCATTCGATGTCTTAAAAAAGTAATTGTAGAAAATGCTTATGTCACATATTTGATTAGATAATTGCCTTGACATAAGCCTTTATGGCTCAGGTTGTTAAGCGCTTATTTTGGTATTTTGTGACCCGGGTTCAATTTCCGATAGAACTTTTGTTTTTATTTTTATATTTTGGAAAAAATATGAACAACGATAAAAATACGACTATCGCTGATTATTTAAAATACATTTTCAGCGGCGGATGGGACCCCTGGCGCTGCGCCAGTCCAGCAAAAAAATGAAAAATAAATAATTATAATAATAAATTAACCACAACTTATTTTACAATAACTTTTAAATAAAAAAAAAATTTTTACTTAAAAAACACCGTTAAAAAACCTACAATTTTTATTATTACATATAAACATAAATAAAAAGAAACTCTTAATTTTGTTAACACAAATATCACATAAATAAAAAAAGGAACTAATCCAAAGTTAATTATCTAATTAAGTATATGACATTAGCATTTTCTACAACTGCTGTTTAAGAAGTCTTCGTCGAGCGTGTTCTACAAAGTAAAGATGCACGAAAAATGTTTAATTTTGCCTTGACCAAATAATACACCTAAAAGTGTCACTGGCTTCCCTATCATACATTTTCTACATATCCTTATGAAATCTGTGTTGTTTTTCAGGAGTTTCAAAAAAATATCTTCCAAGATACATATAAGAAGGTCACGTTAGATGTTTTCCCAAATGAAGATTACGTATCAACCAAGATACGAACTACAGTTCTGGAATGGTCATGTTTTAATCCAGATTCCAGATGCACTCACAGGGCTAAGATGTCCTTTAGAGAGTGGATAACTAGAGGGACAAAGTAAATTATTATTTAATACCAGACTTTTTAAATATGATTTAATCGATCAGTATATTCTACTTTTAATAATAATTAAGTTAGTAGAAATGTATTTCTCCTAGTTATATTTTAAAGAAATCGCAATAGTGGGTAGGTTAAGTCAGGTTAAAGTTGAGTGTGATGATCACAAGATTTCCATTGCGACCCAGATGAATCTATTGTAGCTGATATCTAAATTATAGATCACAGCACAAACCACATCTTTTGATAAAGGTCACGGTTAAGTTAGATTTTTCGCATACATTTATGTTGTTCTGTGGGACTCAGGATTATCTACTATCCACTAAAATCCACTAATATATCCGCCCGACCATCCTCGGAACCACCTGGTCGGTATATCATCAAGAATGACCGCGGTCTAATTGTCTGCCTCTCTTGCTCTACCATCCCACTCTTTTTTACCCTATTACTTCTTTGATGAAGTTGGGCATCACGTCTCATTTTTCCTTATTTTCTATCATGTGCATAATTAGATTATTTCCGCCCAAACTACAAGCCTGGTTTCTACCTCCACGCGTTTAACGTGCTATCTTGAACATACAAAAGATCATCTCTATTTTCGCAGTACATGCAGATGTCGCTCTCACGTTTTGCAAACTGCTTGAGTTAGGCCCCTTTGCGCTTTTCAGCTGTTGGGCCACTTCATATAACCTTTTCCGCTCATTTACCAACAAATGAATAGGAATGATTTCCGTCACAGCTTGTACGTCTTCTTTAGAAGCTCCAATAAGTAGTACAAGTAATTCCTTTTTTCTGCTTGAAGATTTGCATCATGGGCATCATTTATAGTTGTCCGAATCGGTTGTCTGCTTTCCTGGCAATTCTTCTAATGCAACTTTCAAAGTTACCCCCGTCATCTAGCATAATACCTAAATATTTTACATCTCTAGAAGGTGCCACTTGCACACCCTCTATTGTTGAGCTTGCGTGGTATCACCATTTCCATCTTTTCTGGAACCAATTCTATTTTCCGCTCCTTTAGGCAGTATCCTATTTCCCCCAATTCAATATTGTCGGCGGTTAGATATTCCAGTCTATCTGCCTTCATCAGTATAGAGTGGTTATCTGCGAACCCTATGTACATAACTCCTTCTGGTAGGGGTATTCTGAGTACCCTATCGTAAAGCACATTCCAAAGTGTTAGTCTAGGACTTAGCCCTGCGGGTCTCCGGTTTTTATTTGCTCCCTCTTGCTTACTATTAACTTCCTATTACTCAGATAGCATCATATTGTGCTGATTAAGTAACCGGAGATCTTTTTTCTGCAGTTCTCTAATAATTTTACTCCACATCACTGTATTAATAGTATTTGTCTCGTCTAATAATATTAGGACTATACATCTACTTCTACATTTTCCGCCTGATTTTATTAACTGCCTGCCTCTTATAAATCCGAACCAATCATTGTTGTGTTTTCTCCAAGAATTTAGAAAATCTCGCACTGTACTTTTTGGTACTCCAAGGTTAACGGTCCCGCTGTTTCTTCTGACTCTCTTTTTCCAAATTCGTCAGCCTAGTTTTATTCTATTTTGATCTATCAGTATTTTCAGTTCATCGATGCAATCCCATTCCAGTCTGGACATCACTTTCTAACTCGATATTGCTTTAAGGACCACCTAGCTGTCTGACATCATATTGATCTCGTGGGTTTCGGTAGCTCTCCTGTTGTTTGTTCTTACCCATCGCAATATTGCATAAATCTTAGCCTGAAATACTCTTGCTTAGTTAAGGTTGTTTGGAGAATACTCCAGCCCCTGTGCTTTCCGCAGACACGTATTTGTACCATGTTCGTTCCTATCATTGGGTACTGATTTCCCTTATGGTATGGTGATCTCCATTCTATTTGGTATTAAAATATCAAAAGAAATGTTGACGGAGTAACACTTGATTATGCCTTCTGTTCTCATGTTCCTAACCTTTTGATACTTATGTGACCCGGTCTAATGTTAAGATTTCCCATTTATGTACTATCAAGACCTGTAATTGAAATTATTATTTTTAGTATTGATCCTAATCTTCGATCTATTGTATATTGTACAGCTATCAGAGAAGGCAGTGAAACGGAATGGGACTTTGCTTACAGAAAATATTTAGAAACATCTTCAGTAGCAGAAAAGAATACACTCATAGATGCTTTAGGCTGTACAAGACAACGTTGGCTGCTATCCAGGTACATGCAGAAATTTCTGAATACACTATCTATATAAAATATTTGACAGATGACGGCTTGTTTTTGCTGTCATCTTTCAACTGATTAAACATTTATTAGGTCTTTTCCTTTGCATCGAAAGTGTAGCACTGAGCTACACCACTTCTGAAAATATCGTTCCATTTATACAAATTGTATGGCTAGAACGATATTCTCAGAAGTGACGTAGCTCAGTGCTACACTTTCGATGCAAAGGAAAAGACCTATTAACGCACACTTCTTAAATCTTCATTGTATGTTTTAGATGCACTGTATATAACATTTTTCTGCTAACATTGGCTTGGTAAATGGTTCTTCTTCTGCGATGTATGTTAACTAACCAAACTTTCGTATTGTACTAACACGAACGGCTTTAAAAAATTGAAACTTTTTGCTTACAGATATTTGGAAAACGTTTTATCATCCAGTATGAAAATTGAAGATGCCGCTAGACTATTTGGATCTGTGGTCAGAAACGAAGTAGGTACCCAGATAGCTTTTGATTTTCTGAGGGAAAAATGGAACGAGATCATCGAACGGTAAGTGACCGCAATTCTCGAATTATTCGTTCACTGAGCGTACCAGTTCGTGACGTCATAAACGATGATTTCGTAAGATAATAGATCTTTCCGTCTTTTAACGAACTGTGTGTTACTAAAAATTAAAATACATGTAGATATTAAAACAAATTAATATTTAAACGTAAACCAGATTGTGCAAAAATATTATTTTGAATATTACCGATATTGAAGTAGTAATTATTATAAAGATTGAGTCACAAAAAAAATGTTTCCAATAAAATCAGAGATACGAGTCAAACTGGCACTTAAAAAGAAGACGAATTGTACGCTCAGATATACGCGAATTTTTCCGGGTCTTTCTTTAAAAACATTTTTATAGATCTTTTGAAAATGTATGTTAATAAAGTTGGGAACTCGGGCGCCTCCGAGTGGATTTTGACCGTAAATTTAGATATACTGCGATTTTTAGAACTATTTTAATCCGTTCTTTCATCTAAAATTATTATTAAAATTTAATTTAAATTATGTTAATTATAATTATTCTTTGTTCACATTTGAATTATTTAAAAATATAATAAAAAGTATATAATTTATCAATTACATTGATTTCGTACTAGAATTGTTAAAAAACTATTCATTATTTTTTTACAGTAATGGGGATGGTTTTAACATTGTATCAAAAATGGTAAAATCACTGGGAGATCATCTGACCACTAAATTCCAATTGTTAGAGGTATGTATTAGATATTTAAATGGTAGTAAATAAATGAAATTTTTCCATTATCACTATACAAAGTAGGCTTTTGCGCTTCGAAATCCAACCGCAAAGTTGACGTTTTCCGCGAACTGACATTAAGTGACAGTTTTATTGCTCGCCTAATTTAAATTAGCTATAATACATTAATATTTCTTTTTAATTAATGATTTTTAAGTAATTTGATTCGATCATGTCATGATCGAATGTAATTTGTTCGTCATTACATGTTTTTTATTATATTACCAAAGTTAACATGGACTTTGAATATCAACTGCTTTTTTCATGATTAACGTATGTAGGTAAGGTGTAGGCAACACATTATACACTACTGATGACAAATTTTCAGTTTTTATATCTATTTCTTAAAAAAGTGTGATCGTAGAAAAAAATCTTGTGTGCATTTTGAGCAAAAAGTTCGTTGCCGCTTTCGACAGATTGCCGCGCTCCGCTACGCGTGGTGCGGGCAACTTTCTATCTCCAGCGGCATAGTATCACTTTTCACTCTTAATATACAAATTGTTATAGTCATATGCGTAATCAGCAATACGAAAATATCAGTGATATAATGCTTTCCATCTTTTTTGGTGGGGTTTCAGTGCATTATTAGTGGTGCTCTATCTTTAACGTATATCAAATAAGAACAGAAATGCACTATTATCAGAGATTAAGTCCCCCTATTGGACGAGAATTTTTTTATATAATGGGCAATCCTAAGAATACTTCTCTTAGTAACTTACACTTATTTTGGAAATATTTCGGTGTTTGTCCATTTATTTATATCAAATAAACACACATACATGCACTATTATAGAAGTTTTTGCCCCTCTATTGGACAAGCATTTTTTTAAATGGGAAATCCTTAGAATACCTTTTTTAGTAACTTACACTTATTTTGGAATCATTTCGATGTTTGCCCATTTTTTTATATAAAATAAAAACAGAAATGCATTATTATCTAAGATTAAGCCCCCCTATTGGACGAGGATTTTTTTTAAAGATGGGCAATCCTTATAACACATTTCTTAGCAACTTTCAATTATTTTGGAATCATTTGGATGTTTGCCAATTTTTTTATATCAAATAAAAACAGAAAAATCCACTATTATTGAAGTTTAAGCCCCCCCATTGGACGAGGATTTTTTTTTAAAATGGGCAATCCTCAGAATGCCTTTCTTAATAACTTACACTTATTTTTAAATCATTTCGATGTTTGCTTATTTTTTTATATCAAGTAAAATACAGAAATGCACTATTATCGGAGATTAAGCCTCCCAATGGACGAGGATTTTTTAAAAAATGGGCAATCCTCAGAATACCTTTCTTAGTAACTTTGGAATCATTTCGATGTTTGCCCATTTTTTTTATATCATATAATAACAGAAATGCACTATTATCGGAGATTAAGCCCCCTTATTGGACGAGGATTTTTTTTTTAAATGGACAATCCTCAGAATATATTTCTTAGCAACTTTCAATTATTTTGAAATCATTTCGATGTTTGCCTATTTTTTTATATCAACTAAAAACACATATAAATGCACTATAAGTGCCTATTGGACGAGGATTTAAAGAAAACATTTTTAAGTAACATAAATATTTTGGCGTTATTTCGATGTTTGTTTATTTTTGTTATAACAAATAAACTCGTATAAATCTGAATTGTCATCAAATTCTTTTTTTAATTAATTTTTTTTGAAGATCGTTATGGAAATTTGTGAAACAAAAAAATGGACAAACATGGGCTAACGAATGATTATCCAATGCAGTTATCATATTGCATTTTTGTGAATATTTTTTTTTATTTTCTCTAATTTTTTTTTCTGAAAAAACTAATTTATGGGCAAACGTGGGCAATCGAAATGCTATTATGCCGTGAAATTAAATTAAGAAAATTTAAACTTTTGTCTGGAAGTTGGGCCGCGAAAATTATTTTCGATATATTGTGAAAACAGAGGGTGGGCAAAAAAAGTTATTTCATGGGCAATAATGGGCAAACGATGGACAAACGTATCACACATATTTGACCCTTTTTTGCAATGTTGTGGTGCCAAGTTCACAGACCTCTTTATAAAGCTTGATTTTTTCTCAAGATTTCAATTTGATTTCGTTTTTTGTTGCTGAGTTATTTCAACCCCCTTGTCCCCCCATTGTTATTCAGATTTTTGTGGAATCAATGAGCTTCATTTCCTTATAGATCTTGATAAAATTTCACGTTGATATCGCTTTTGGTGTTTGATTTCTATTTTTTTATTTTAACCCCCTTAACCCCCCATTTTGTTCACAATTTTTTTAAAGCAATAAACTTTGTCTGCTTATAGAGTTTGATTTTTGCTAAACATTTTAAGTTGATCTTTTTTCGTTTTTGAGTTAGGATTTTTTAATATTTCAACCCCCTTTTTTATTTCAGATTTCTTTAGAATCGATAGGTTTCATCTTCTTATAGAGCTTAATTGTTACTAAAAATTTCATGTTTATGTTTTTCGTTTTTGATTTGTTTTTTTTTTTAAATTTCAACCCGCCTAACCCTCCATTTCTAATCAGATTTTTCTAAATATCAATAGACTTTTTAATATTTCAAACCCCCCATTTTAATTTAGATTTTTTCAGAATAAATAGGCTTCATTTTGATTTCAACCCCTCTTAACCCCCACATTTTTATAAGGACTTTTTTTTAAATCAAAGGGCTACTACCTCTTATAGAGCTTGTTTTTTACTAAACATTTCAAGTTGATATAATTTTTTGTTTTTGAGTTAGGATTTTTTTAAACATTTCAACCCTCCCTTAACCCCCATTTTTGTTTAGATTTTTTCAAAAGCAATAGGCTTCACCCATTTATAAAGCTTGATTTTGCCTGAAGATTTCAATTTGATATCGTTTTTTGTTTCTGAGTTAGGATTTTTTTCAATATTTCAACCCCCCATTTTAATTTAGATTTTTTCAGAATCAATAGGATTTATCTTATAGAGCTGGAGTTTTACTAAAAAGTTCATGTTGATATCGCTTTTCATTTATGATTTATGTTTTTTTTTTTATTTCAACCACCTTTAACCACCACATTTTTAATGAGATTTTTTTTAAATCAAAGCGTTTCTTCCTCTTATAGAGCTTGTTTTTTTTTTAATTTCAAGTTAATATAATTTTTTGTTTTTGAGTTAGGATTTTTTTAATGTTTCAACCCCCTTTAATCCCCCAGTTTTATTCAGATTTTTTCAGAATCAATAGGCTTTGGCCCCTTATAGTGCTTAATTTTTCCTGAAATTTTACAAATTGATAGCGTTTTCCTTTTTTAACTTACCGTACGGACAAAAAGCGTGCCATCGGACGGACGGATGAAGCGAATGTATAATACTCTTCACAGTATAAGAGTATAATAATGAGTACATACCTGAATTATTAGCACAACTTATGAAAACTATTATAAACAACAATAATTAGATTTTTAACAGAACAACTTTGAGCTTTTTTCCATGTGCACTTTTATACCTGTGAGGATTTTTCCGTGTGTGGTTTTGTCCGTGTGCGCATCTTTCTTGTGCGCTTATATGACTGTGCGCTTATATGACTGTGCGCTTTTTGATGAGTTATCTGATATCCAGTGGCGTTTTGGAAAAATATGAAAATTGAATAAATACAACTTATTATTGTTGTTTATTTTTTTCAAATACATTTTATTTATTATGATATGACCCTTACAGTTAATCTTTCCGGTATTTATTTTAGTACTAATTTGATTACTGTTCAGAAAAAATTTGTAAGTAGATCGATATATATTCATCTTCATAAAAAGTTCTTGTTCACGGTTGTATTTTATTTATTTTATTTAAAAAAATTAAACCAATGAAAAACATCATTGTATTCTAGTATTGTTTGTACCTAATATTATTTTACCGTTATCATCATACGAAAGTGTTTGTAAATGGAACTACAATGTTCTTAATTTCAACCAAAGACCTTAAAAATTATTCAATAAGACATATCAAAAGAAATTTAAAACCAGCCACAACTTGATTAAACCTTCCTGGTTTTATATTTTTTTTATAAAATTATTTTGTAGTCGTAGCTAAAATATTATTTTGTGTAAAAGTGATTTTTCACACTCGTAATATACTATATAAAAATACACGATTATTTTTCAGCTTATTAGATTCCATGACGACATTAAGAGCAACTTAACATCAGCGGCAGGTGCTTTTAAAGAAGCTATAGAAAATGTGAAACAAACTGTAGAATGGAAGGAAAAATTGTCTCCGAAAGTTGAACAATGGCTTCAAAATAATAGAGATCTTAGATCACGTATTAGAGAAAAACAGAGGATGGAACGTTACCAACAGATGAACCATATTCCAGCACGTGGAGCATAATTTTTAGCTAATTCCAATAAATTTTTTGTGATTTGATACTGAGCTAACTTCAAGGCTGAGATGCATAAAATACTTAAACCACAGTTACTAGTTAAAATAATAGTGTTTCACGTTTGTGTCTTAATAACGAAGTTAATTGTAACTATGGTTTAAATATTTTAAATATACACTTCCGAAATTTTCTAAACCATAATTTAGTTGTCGACGATGAATATTTATCAAAAATAACAAACGACTTTTATGATTTTTTCATTTAATTAAAAATCACTTTAGAGCCTGTTTTAAAAATGTTATTCTTTTATTTAATAGGTATCTACAAAGAAAATATTATTTAAATTATTGTGTTCATTCGCAACTGATCCTTGACTATTTGGTGAATAAAATAATTATTGTAAAAACTTTATTACGAGTATAATCAGTATTTTTTAATTTCTTACTTTTTGATTAATTTATTGTTTACTAGATTACTAGTTGCAAGATCTGCATTTTAATTTGATATATCCTAAATTAATTAAATTGTATAAATACAGATTATATACAAACTTTAGTGATTGATTTTAAGTAAATTGATTATCTAGGAAAACAATTTTTAAATCAAATAGAAAAATATTTTAAATTGTGTATATTGTATTTAAAGAGGTAACTATTTTATATATGGCAATCACTTTTACAGACTTTTAATTTATTTATGTACATTTAGAAATACCTACATCCTATTAGGAATCTATCGCAATCTGTGAAAATGTATATGATATAGAAGAAAATAAAATAAACGTACGCAAATTTGTAGTATTATTATTAAGAGCATTCTATACAACAGTGGCGACTTTTTTAATTTTTTGAACATCAGGTCGATTCTCCTATCCTTTAAACTTGCAAAATTAACTTATATATACATATATCATGGTAAGTCGATCTTCTGTCATTATATTTCGTAGATATGTTTTAATTTGTTTTAAACACGAAAAACTACATTCGACTGAAACACTAGTGGATGGAATAGTTAAGATTAAGCAATATACCTTATAAGCTTCTTCGAAAATATCGCGATTCTCAAATAGTTTTTTCAACAATTTATCGATGTCAATATTTATAAAGTTTTCATCACTGTAAATAAACTGTAACTCATTTGTTAACCTTTGTAAGTCATTTAATTTGCTAGGCTACATTTGAACTAAATTATTTAGTGCATCTGTAGCAAAGCTCTCCGAATATACAGAAAAGTGGAAGTATCCATTAATGTTACGAACTGAAGTATCCTGAAAGCGAGTGTTGATTTGTTCTAAAATTATGTCCAGGATTTCATAATACAGAATTTTATATTTTTGAACTACTTGATCTCGTGTCAAGACTTGTCTTATGCGCCCATCACGGTGCTCAGTGGGCAGTTCTGTTCTTAGGGAAACTGAATCAATTATATTTGCAAAAATAACTTTACTTCTTTTAGCGTTTAGTTGATTCTGCGCATTTTTAATTTGAGATACACAGTAATTTTTATCTAAAGAACGTTTCTGCAATACATCAAAAAGTACATCACTGATGGAAAAAATTTCGTTAAAAATTATAACTAGAAAAACAAATTCAAAGTCATTGAACATATTTAAGTAGCCCTGGCTCTGTTTTATTCAAGCCTGATCAGAATTTGGGTCATTTAAAATGTCATTAAGAGCTCGTCCAGACGAGCCACTCGGTCGGTGGCGATACTTAGTAGGGCCACTTCGTGGCGGGTAAACGCCTGCCATTCAATTCAATGTTAAAATGTAGAAGCTGTCCAGACGAGCGTCTGTGGCGAAGAGAAGCGGTTTCCCGCGACGAAGTGGCGACACTCAGTCGCTGGAACCGTCCCCATGGGCCACTTTTGTCGTCGACTTCTACCCACATTGGTAGAGATATTTTATTTTGATTTTCGGGGTCCGGCATTGAGTAATATGACGTTCGATGCAGATCGATTTATAGTCAAAATAGACCAACTTTCTGCGGTTTGGAACAGCAGTTCTAAAGAATATAGCAATACGGTGTTAAAGAGTAAAACTTGGGAGGAAATTTGGTGTAATTTTCGTAAAAAATTTAAAGTAATGGATGCTGGTGCTGAAAACAAGGCATGTAAGTATCGCTAGAAGCGTTAGAATGAGTACTTTCTGGTCCTGAGTCCATAGTGACACAGGCAAATTTTAATTACCTTCCAACATGAGCCTACCATGGAATCGCGCTACTCAGTAGCTAACACGTCCACACGAACGACCAGTAGTTGCCACTGTGTGGCGACACCGAGTGGCCTGTACACGCCACTTAGCAGCGCGACTGAGTGGCTCGTCTGGACAGGCTCTAAAAACTTGTTTTAGAGAATTCCAATTATTATGAATAAGACTCAAAATCTTAGAATTACATTACCATCTTGTAACTGCTGAAGTGGGTATTCGTTTATTGAGGATTACATCGGCGGCATGAGTTCTTTTTGCTGAATGATGAAAATTAGCAAAAAATAACGGCACTTCGAAATGTTGTTACAGCTTTGAGACAGGACTAAGTTCAGACGATGCGCCAAACAATGAACGAACACCACCTCTGGTGATGCTTCCTTAATCTTCTATTGTAAACCATTTAATTGCCCTGACAACACTAGCGCCATCTAGTTATGATGGTGGGTGAGGTTTTCCGGGTTTTCCTCACCTGTAAGTCAAATGGCACCATCAATCATCTTTAAGTCGCCCCGGAGCGCCACGGCAAATAATAATAATAGCCGTCCCTTTCCCCGGACAAGCTCAGCTTTTGGGGTTAAAATTCACTCGTAAGGGGGTGAATTAGGGAGAGTATTATTATTATATTATTATCGTAACATTGTCCAACAAGTTTTGATTTGTAGTCGTATTTTTCTAGACAACTTGTAACTAGGGTAAACAATGCTTGATATGTTCGATCAGAACTTACATCATGGAATCCTAAAAATCTTTCAACTATATCTTCCCTTGAGAGTTAACATACCTAATTATTATGCTACATTGAGATGTTTGAGCAATATCTGTTGAGTCGAAAAATCGAAAAAAACTATCGAATTTTCCATGTATTATCCCCTGGAACCACTCGTAAATTTGCTTTCATTCTAGTTAAAATCGATGTACTTTTCAACCCTCTTCGAGGTGAAAATGGGGCACCTAAACCTGTCACTATCGGTCTATTATATTATATAGTATACAATTATAAAAGTAATTTAGTTTTTTAAATTTGAATTTTGAAAAAATTCTTACATCTCATCATTTGGAGGATTTTCTTATTTTTGCTTATACGGGCTCTAAAATCATTGAAAGTTTGCTTATGTAATACTTTAACTCTCACTAGGATATGGAATATGAATTCATTCTCGAGCCAAATAATCTCATAAGACATGAGACTTTTCAGAAATGAAAATCATTTAAAAAATAAGGACTTTAATTTCTAAATAAAACGCATTTAGACTTTGTAAATGTATAATTTCCTTATATACATACCGTCATAATGATATTGTACATAGTTTACAAGTAGTAAAACTACAATAAATTATGATTCAGAACATTAATGTTGATATTACCTGTTTTTTGAACAGTACAATATGTAAATTGCGCTCAATCTTCTGCTTTGAGAAATCCCAATAAAATGTGGCATAATATATTTTTCAAATTATACTTTTGATTTAGTACGGGATTGGAAGCCGATTCTTATTGTCCTAATTTGATTTTTTTGGGAGTTCTCAATTCTTAAATATAGTCGAAGCATGTACAGTACTTTTTGTGTAAATGTTTTAATAAAATTAAAATTTGTAAATACAAATACCATTAAATTTAAAAATAATTCGGAATCGACATGTTTAGTGAAACTCGAAAATATCATAGTACAGGATCCGTAAGTAAGGTCGACCTTCACCTATCTGTTTAATGGATGAAAGTTTTTTTTTTTTAATAAAATATGATATTAAATATACCGCAAATGGGTTGGCCTAAGAAAATACGGTCACGGTAATTTTTTACTTTCCTTTCTGTATACAGATAAGGAAAGTATAGGAATCATGATAAAAGTTGTCATTCTCTATAATTTTGTTCCTCCTATACATGATTTCCCTAAAATGGACCTAATTCGAGATATTTGAGGAAAAGTGCAAATTTCGAACTCAAAAACGGATAAAGAGAAAAACACTAAATTTTAAACTTAATCTTTAATCCATTCATTTTGCGGTGAGCTCATTAAAGTTTGGGCATAGTCAAAGCATCTGGGGAATCCTTTACAGGGAAGGTGTCGTTTTTTTACTTTAAAAAAAGAAAGTCATGACCATATTTTTTTAGGCAACCCATTTGTAGTATATTTATAAACATATTTTATTTAATAAAAATAAACTTTCATCCGTTAAACAGATGGGTGAAGGTCGACCTTACTTCGGATCTTAGACCATCAATTTCTATCAGAACGAAGCACAAAGTTTCATTGGCTATGTAATGTTTGATATATAGAAAAATATACCGTTTTTGTATTGAAATTCCGTATAACCGACAATAATAAGGTGAATAATGAAATATTAAAATGTGTAGAAATGCAAAAAATTAATTTGAAACCACGGTTCAGATTTTTTCTAATAGTAGCTAAACATCTTTTAATGCAAAAAATAGAACATAAGAAACTTTATTTTAAAAAAAACAACAGCAACGTTGAAGTGCCAACTGTCTACTTCCAGTTTCTTCCATGTGACGAGTTTTTTAGAAATCCCGTGATAATGTCAATTGCATGTTTGGAATTATGTTTTTAATAAAAATGCATCTAGCGTTTCCGCCTTTTAAGGCATCATCAGAACTCTATAAACAAAAAAATTGAGCAGGTCAAGAATAAGTCAAAATATTTTTATTTTATTTTAAATTTTTATTGACCTGGTCAATTTTTTTGTTTATAGAGTCCTGATGATGGCTTAAAAGCAAACTTTAAATACTTGTTTTATTTCTTAATTACCCAGTGGGTCCATACACGAATATACAGTTTTTATGTTGCAAAGTTAGTCTAGTTTTAAATAGGCCTATCTGTTTTTGTTTTTAATGAAAAACTAAATTCTACAGCGCATAAAAATTAAGAACATTCCAATTGTGCCATTGTTCCTCTAGAAAATGCCAAAATTATGATGTTGTTCAATAGGTTGGTGATGGAAAATTGTGGGTTAATTGCAATAAAACACAAAATTTTGTAATAAACCTTAACAAACAACACGTTGTAGCATTAAGAATATTGCGTCAAAATTGAAAATCGAATCATAATTTACCAATACTATTTAGTTCAACTGAACATTGTGGTTGAAAATGCGTAATTGAAAGACGTAACTACTCTTTAGCGGCCAAGAAATGGTAGAAATTACGTCATTGTCTTATTTTTTAAAATATTTTCCAGGGAAGCGAGAGCAAAGTGTAAGTTAGGTTAGATTAGATTGAAAATGAGTGGTATGATCGGAAGTGGAATTCTCATCTTTCGATACGTGTCGTATCGAGACTCCTATCTTCGTTCGACAGAATACAATTCTTATGTAATGTCTCTCTCTATTCGATACGTAATATGCCGAGTTCGCACATAAGAATCCCTGTGAAGATCGCCTTCTAAATAGTGACGGATGACTTACAATATTGATATCGATTTTCTAGCGCATCGTTAGACCCAATGAAATTTGTACATCTTTCTGACTCATAAAATGGAGCAAAAGTTAAGTGATATATTTTATTTTAATGCAAAAAGGGTTTTCAATTTTTTTACTTTTAATTATACATTTAATTTCTAATTATGTAGAAATTGTAGTTACCCAAAAAATACTGTAATACATGTTTTATTTGAACCAATTAAAAAAAGTATCAAATAATGGTAGTTGAAGAAGAGAAAACATTTTTAAAAATGTAAAATTGGTAAAAATTAAGACAAATGGCTGTTTTTTAGCCAAATATAGAATATTCATGTGTATATATAGGTAATTCAAAATATTTATTTTAGAATATATTGTAGTAGCGAGAAACAGTGGACCAATCAAAACATAATGTGATATGAGAGGCTAATAATTAACTAATGAACTATATTACTGTAGAATGGTTCGCTAATTCACTTTATTTACAATAATTATGGGCTTAGATAATTTTACTAATGATGAATTGTATTTGAAAGCTGGAGGTGAGAAGTAATCAAATTATATTCCCCTTTCAACCATTCTAGAGTGGTTAGTTATATTTTCTACTAGTCAACTGCTTCTTGAAACACTGTAAAATCACTACTGAAATTTTTCTTCCAAATCTGTATGTATATGTATAGTGTATCCATAAAGTATGGAATCAATTAATTTTTAAGTCAAAATATCAATTTCTAAGGAAATTCCCAAAACAAGTCGATTTTTAATTTCAAATTTCCACATTTTGAACTAAAAATTATACATACAGGACGATGAACGTGTGAGTAATGACGTCAGCGACAATTTTTTTATATTTATCAATTTTTGGAATTGCCATGGAAAGCTGAAATCAAAAATTTACCACCCACAGAATCATCCATCATTAAAAAATATCAACTACGTCATTCCTCCAACACGTATCTTTCTGTATGTATTAATTTCATTTGAAAGAATACCCAAATGAAAATAAAATTCGTCAGCTTCCAGCAATTTTTTCCAAAAATTATTCCTTGAATTTTTAACGAATTTATGTGATATATTTTTGAATTCAGCGATTCTAAAAATCGAATATGTAGGGTGTCCTATTTGAAGCAAAAATTTAAAATTAGACATAGACGTATTTAGGTTTTTTTTTAAATGTTTTTAGTTAAGGAAATAATGGAATGTATTCCATATTTTAGGGACACTGTATATTAATAAAAATGTCATTAGAGTGAATAACTTCTAACCCTACAATAATTACCACCAAGTAAAAAGCTTCTATTATAGATGTATAAAGAATGTGAATTAATAAGACAAATTATATTCCAATTTTTTTTTTTTCAAAATATTCAGAAAATTAAACCAATCAAATATTTTAGGTAGAAAAAATAAAACCCTCTTATTAAACGAATTGATTTAAAATTGAATAAAAAAAAACCGTTAAATTTTGTGAATCAAATAAAATGCAAGTTTTTAAAAAATAAAAAACAATTTTATTTCGAGAAAAATATATATAAAAAAATTCAAATTTGAAGCATGTTATTAAAAGAAAATTTTCAAATTCTCATTTGTAGGCCTTCAAAGCTCCCTTATTAAAAAAAATCTCTGAATATTTTTAAACTAAAACAATTACTTTTTCTATTCTTCACTACCATGAAAAAAGGATTAAAGCAATAGAAAAAACATAAATTAACGTGATGCTTATCTTGACTTAAGAGTTACAACATTATATCACAAAAATTGGCAACATATTAAATATGCGATTCAAAAATATTCAGCGTATTATTATTATCATTATTATTATTTGCATATCAACAATGGATTGATATTAAAAACGAACCTAATAGCAAATAACTCGAATTTCCTCCATTACTATACAACACAGTAAAAAAATTGTATATAATATGTAAACTTCAAACTTTTCAAAATCCTATATCTTAAACTCTAAATAATGTACAATCTCAATAAATAATACTTTCTTGCTAATTTCTGGTATTTTCTGACATTTATTTTAGCAGTTCCAAAAAATGACAATGGTGACAGCTATCATAGTCTAAAAGTTAAAATATTGACATTAACCATTATCATTCTGTTATATGACATCCATATTGAAAACACAAAAAAAAATGTCAAAACAATGACCATTTACTAAATACGCATATAAATATATGCTACAGGTTGTCTTATATAATCAACAATAATAATATCAACATGGATTATACAAATTCAACGTTGAAACATTGAAACCAACAACAGTAAATAGTATTTTTTTTTTTTTAATGAAAAAAAAAATTACTTTGGCTACCTATTATCCATTACTACTTGTTTGAATACTTGTACACCTGTAGACATTTGGGATTTGACTTCATGATTGCCTACTGCTGCAGTACCATCTTTAGCTATGAAGAGTTGGAGTCCAGAATCTAAAATAAAGACATCGATATATATTTAACTCAAAATTGTACATTTTATAACGACAAAAATCCAAATAAAAAAGTTTGTCATCCTTGATAACACTCGAACCCACAATTCCCAGCTTAGTAGACCAATGCATTATCCATTAGGCCACAGTGACAATATTTATATTTTTCCACACTTTTTCTAATCATAGCAATAACTTTAATTAACTGTGAATCATTTGCGGATGAGTTGAAAATGTATTTAATATTTACGTATTTATTCAATTTTTAACCTCTCAAGAAGCTAAATTAATATATCATACTCGTTATTCACATAATTCGCCTGTTGTGATTTTACCTGTTATGTACAGTTACGCTTCGTTATAAAATGAAAACCCGCCGCGCCTGCTTGTTGACGTCAATTTTCCAATATTAATGACGTTCGCTGTAGCTGCTTATAATAAAATAACTATACTCTGTTTTTAAACTAAGAGGAGCGATTTGAATTTAAGTTGGCAATTCTGTAGCCTTCTGATTGGTCAGATTACAGTCAGTTTCACACATTACTTTTTAGCATGAACATCAGCTAATAATTGATATTGTTGACAGTTCTGACATTTTATAATTTGATATCTCATCCATTACTTAGTTTTTTACTTTATTTCGTAAATAATAGTTCTTCGGTAAGCAATTGTATTGAAAATCTACAATTATGGATCCTTCTACACTGAGTACTATTAAAGGTAGCAATTCCTGAAAAGCCTTACAAGAAAAGGAAGACACCTTATTATTTTACATGCTGATTCTGAAGGTTTTGTAGAAAATGCATTATTGGTTTTTGAAGGTAAAAAGATGGGAGATTACCATGAAGAGATGAATTCCGAAGTATTTTAGAAAAAAATAATTTTATTACTGATTTTTTAAAACTAAAAATTGATGAATTTCTAACCAAAATGATTAAAATGTAACTAAATATTCAAGCAAATTTTATTTATTAGAATAGAAAAAAATTATTTACAAAATTGTTATAACATATTTAAAACACCATCTACTACTTTAGGAACAATCTTAATTTGGCACAATGAGTTAACATTACTTTCACAAAAAATATTTAAAAAATACTTAAAATTAATACATAGATATGTATGAATAGTTCACTTTAAAAAATATATGTTGACATGTAGTGTTATGAAAATGTTGGTTCCAGTTTTCAAAACAAATTCTGACTCATAGGCCTGTAAACTTTTGAATGCCTTTATTTGCCCTCTAGCGCATTAACTATGGGTTAACACTAAATAAGCCATAATATCCACATTACTCATAGAAGAGATACCGCAGTTACTATGTGATCCACTTGTCATTCACTGATTAACTTTTACTTTTTCTACCTATAACAAATATATCCTTAAAAATGTAAACATATCTTTATATTTTATACTAACCTGGCTACATCTGGATATTCAATTAATAATTTTCTTAAATATTTAATATTCATTTTAAAAAGTTCATAGTTATTCTCAAAAAGTCGATTTCAAAAGCAAGAAAAAAGTATTTCTGACATCAATCAACAACCATATTGACTTTAATTTGACAGTGACATTTCGTTTTAGACATACATTTCAGATCACAATAATGTGAAATTTGCGACCGTTGTCTGGGACCAATTAAAAAATTACTTGTATGACATTTATTCGTTTCTTAACCGCTCTCATTGACCGTTCACCGACTAAGGCCGATAAAGATAATTATTTCATAAATTTTGAACACGACTATATTTCGAAACTCGCTCTTAGTAACAAATCTAGTTACTTTTCCCTGTGTAAATGTGTCTTTTCAATTCGCTCCTCCTAGTTTAAAAACAGAGTATAGTGAAATTCAAAAAAAAAAAACCTTGGCCTGTTGTCTTTAAGAAGTGGTTTGACAGAATGCAAAAGTATTGAACTGGTAGCCTAAGAATTAAATGGCAGATGACAAGATCGGCAGAAGATAAATATACAAGAGGTTTGGAACCAAACCAGACCAGTCCACGACTCATTGTTGACAATATGTCGACAACTAGCAATTGACAACCTGTCAGGGATGAGGACTCAACTCGGAACTCGGTTGTTATCACAAATTCAACAGAAAATATAATAAATGATAATGAATAAAAACTAAACTCGATTGACAAATACAAATCAAAGCTGTCAGATACTATAGAATCACCAGGGCTGGTATATCTAAGGGGGTCGCGACATAGGAGTCAATTTTGGACGCCATTTTTTTCGAAATAGTAGTCACATAGTAGTCGCCATTGATCTGGCAACGTGGCAACTTGTAATCGCCAGGTTTACCAATATAAGAAAAAAAATCAATGTCATTTCCATTATAAAATGCCCATATTTTTTAGGATAAAATATTTCAATTTAATAAATTATTAATCTCAGATGTACATAAAATACGTGCGGTTTTAGTTTTGTTTATTTTAAAAGGTAATTGAAGAGATGAAGACAATTTTCTTATAGATGATGCATAACAAATTATGGCTCCCTTTTTTAGAGCTCCAGTCTCTTAAGTCTATTTATTTTAGGTATTATTCACTTCATTTGTATGTTTTTAGTTAATTTAAATAATTTTGTGTAATATCTTGCGATTTGTTTTCTATACATTTTAGCATGTATTTGTTGTCTACATCTTACAAAGGATGGATTTGAAATACCTTTACAACAGAGGTACTTTCCTAAAACTGGCCGAAATTTGAAACTGAATACAGTTCTTAGAGAAAATCTCCAGTAAAAAATGTCTGCATGCAGAATAACAGTAGCATAGATTAACAAAAGCTGACAAAAGAGTTGGTCTAGCTTTTTTAATATTTCAGGACAATAGTGTTAACAGCAGACTACAACAAAAACATCCAAAGTTTAGTAATCCAGCAAAATATTCCGGTATCTATATTTTTATCACTGATCTGTATTATTTTACTGGATAGGATATAGGTTATATTTAACATACTAAAAAACCGTTCCACCAAGGAGACCGGAAGTGCAACAACGCTGGCCGATTTGGGCAAATTATGGTGGGTTCACAGAACTGAAATTTGGGATAATTTGACATACCTAACCTATGATATGATTAGTTTTTCTTCTTATTCTTCTTCTATTCCTTTTGCGGGCGATGTCCTTCGGGAAAATCCACCCATGATTTGATTTTTTATGAAAGAAAATATAAAAATGGAAACGTGAAGCATATTGTGTCTTTAGGAATGAATGTTTATTGTTTATTTCATACTCTTTTTAGTTTGTTTTCCACAATAAAAACATCTCATCGTAGCTTGTTGACACAATTAAATGAGAAATGTGATGACAAATGGAAATAGAGGTTACGTTAAATAACATCCGGTCCGCCATATTATTTGCCCAAATCGGCCAATTTTTCGGAACGTTTTTTAGGGGGCTATATCCTATCCAGTAAAATAATACAGATCAGTGATTTTTATTCAAAACTTTTGTGCTTCTACTCCAATACTAACCATATAGAAGCATATGCATTTTATAGTATTTGCAAGATTCGGATCAAATGTACCCACAATTTATAAAGATTATTAAACTAAAATAAAACATTTCAAATAACACCTGCTTTTATGTTAAATATGTTTTTATTAAATACATAAATTAGTCTCAACCACACTTTTTTTTCTTTTTACTTCTAGTGTAAAAGTGACTACTAATTCAGTCTTTCAAGTTTATTATTTATAGAGACCAGCTACTACAAAATATCTTATTGATGATAACTAATTTCTCTTTAATAATGGTTTTGCATTTATTAACATTTTACAGCACTTTGTTTATATGAAACCTCTATTTAACTCTTAATTAAATGACATTTAAATCAAGTAATTACATTTTCATATTCAACTTATGTATTCTTATTAGAACTTGGTCACTTTTTTTTACTTTGAATCTTTTGACTGTGGTAACAGTCCATTCACCAAACCACAAAGTCACTTAAAAATGTTGAAAGAGAATGTCATAAAGGTAAAATTCCTTCTTCTATCATGTTTTTCATGCAATTTTAGGTTGTAAACGTTTTGTCCAACACCTTTTTTACAATTTATCCCAAGCAACACTATGAAAGATTTAAATCCTGGATTTACAGCATTCAGTTTTGAGATGAGTGCAATCACAATGTAGTTTAAGAGATAATTTTCACATGAACACTTATTTACCACAGCACAAACGCATGTACCTATTCATGTAACATTAAAATAAAGTGAAAACAAATTGCATAATTTGGTATATAAAAAAGTACAAAATGTTTTTAGTTTTAATTCGACATGAGGAAAACGGTGGTTCATTCCACTTGTACCATATTGACATTATTATGCACGATGCTCGTTCAAACGAACGTCAGAAAAGAGTTGCCAACTTAAGCTGACTACTATTTCCCCCCTAGCCTCAGTCACCCCCTCATCCATTTACTGGGTCTATGTCGCGACCCCCTTAGATATATTAGCCCTGAGAATCACAAAATATTGAGGCTTTGCGCCTGTCTTGACAATTCTTTCATATTCAGACTAAGGAACTGATTTGACAGTACACAAATTGATTTGTGGTTAGTTTTGGTTGTGTTGGAACACTAGGTTTCGGTATAGTTTTGAGTCTGAAGTTTGTTGGAACACGAATTTTAGATTGCGCAGAATCCCGACAATACGTAAACTGATTTGGTTAAAGTTGGAAGACACCTAATACGTAAACTTTTCAATCCCGACTCCAGGAGAACGATATAGAAACCCAATGCTATTGAACAGAGAGAAATAGAATAATATATCTTCGAGTGCGGATCGCAATATCCCATGCTTGCCATCGAAAGGGCGTGGTTAAACAAACCAATTACTATCTTTATCGCTCTCACGTCCAAATATAATTAAGAGTCTCATCTTTATTTTGCCACTAACGTAGTGTATATTAAATAGGGCTACCCAAAGACTGAGAAGGGTAATAATACATCACAAAGAAGAATCCTTCAACAGATACTTCAAAGGCCTAACAGATACATAAAAGGGCTAATAGATACATGAAAGGTTTACCAGAGGACAAAGAAACTGATTATTTGCTATTAAAGGCAACTAAAAAGATAAAAACCCATTTACCCACTGTCCTCCTTAGAATATCAGGTAGCGATTGGGCAGCAAGAGACAATCAACAAAAATCTAATGTTTTCTCTGACCACGAAACAATCCATAATATGGAACAACTTGAAATAAGGTTAGTTATTCGCAATGACGTTGCGAAAGAAATTTAGACGAACATTAATCCACAGAAGACCCCAGAATATGACCTTATTAGTGGAGAAATAGTGAATAAAATGCCAAGGAGAGCTATCGTTAAATGTATATACTGTATAAATGCAGCATTTCGCCTTAAATATATACAACATGCATAGAAAACGGCTGAGGTTATCCTAATTCCTAATCCAGGATAACCTCTATTATATCCATATCGTTGGTACCAATAGTATCTAAGCTGTTTGAGAAGCTACTACTAAAATGACTAAAACCAAATAATTGAAAATAAAACCTGATTTACATCGCATCAATTTGGTTTTAGAAACAATATCAAGTACACAGGTTAGCTGATCTCATCGAGAAAGCATACGAAGAAAAATGTATAATCTCAGCTACATTCCTTGACGTGATCCAAGCATTTGACAAAGTTTGCCACGCTGGCCTGATACAGAAAGTTCGGGAAATGCTTCTTGGAGGATAATTCTCTAAATTTCAGCCGAAAATACATAGCAACGAAAGCACCAAGCGGATGTCTCAACAAAGTCCTATCACCAAAACGACAACATGATGGTATTCTCCCATGCTAGATGATTTTGCTATTCGTAACTGATTTTAATTTTTAATGTTTAGACTGGGAAATAAGTACAGACTCAGTGGTTAAATGATTGGGATGAAGTGAGGAATTGAGTACTCAAGTGTGTATATATAAATGTTTAATACAATTTGGCTAGCGCTTTCGACAAAACATTGTCATCTTCAGGCCGTCCTACAAAGTTTAAAATTAATACGAGAAGTAAGGGTGAAAGAATTACCTTACGTCAATAGATATCTATTCAGAGTTAAAATTGAATAAAAATACATGGGTTAAAACATTGAATAAATTTTTGAAAAAGGGGTTTTGAAAATTAGCAAAACACACCCTTGTATTTCGTATTTTACAAATAAATTATCAGTTAAAAAGTTTTAAATTTTAACGGTACATCGTACCTATTAGACAGTAGACAAATGACACATAGACAGACTGACACATGACATACGCGTAAGGAGGGCGTGTTCGACATTGGTTCTGGAGTTAACCGATCCATGTGATCTATACATATTCAAAAATGATACAATGGTTGAAAAGTTGGAAAGGGTATAATAAGTGTCTGCAGGACATGATCCACACAGCGGTTCAGAGAGACTTATTATAATGGTTTGGGGGAACTATTGTAGATTCGAATTTTTAGAGTAGAGGAAGGGCAATGACTCTAGATCCATACTAGGCCAGAGAACTTGAAGGTGATAGACGTGACTAGACCATGATCCATACATGGCTATTAGTCGAAGAGTGAAGGGTAAATTAGAAAAAAGATAAGAATAGAGAGAGAATTTTGCCGAAAAGTGAAAGGGGTATAGAAAAGATAAATTACTACCTAGATCCATACTAGGCAGTTACACCAGCAAAGGTCCTGTTTGGGCGTGAGATGAGAATACCGTGCGACCTCGAGTTTGGATGCCGATCTGGAGAAGATGTAGCTGGTGAAGATTATGTGATCCAGTTACGAAGAAGAATGGACGATATACATGAATTGATCCGCTCGCATCTTCAAATCGCCAGCGGCAGGATGAAGAAACGGTACGATACCCAAGCCACAGAAGGATGTTTCAAGGAAGGCGACAAAGTCTGGCTCCATAACCCAAAAAGACAAAAGGGTTATTCTCCGAAGCTTCAAAGGTCTTGGGAAGGTCCGTATCTCATCAAGAAAAAATCAAGGATGTCGTTTACTGTATAAGTAAGATCCCGAAAGTTAAACCAAAGGTAGTGCACCAAAACCGGCTGGCGCCATTTGAGGGTGACCATGAAGAGGAAGAAGTAAACCAGCTCCAAGAAACACCTGACCTTGTCTTTGAAGAATGTATAGGTGCATATGGAGGTAGCGGAAAAGCAAGACATGATGTTACAACCGAGCAACAACAAGACCTGCTCACGGTTCCAAAAAACTACTCGCTGGTTCACAGCACTTCCGCCAACATCTACGGCGCTCGAGGTCTGGCATCTGTATTCCGGAAGAAGTTTGTTCGAATGCCAGAACTTCAAGATCAGTTACCAGTCCCTGGAAGAGCATTAAAACTTCAAGATGGATCGCGTTATCTTTTTTATTTGGTAACAAAGAACACCTTCCGAGATCGATCCACCTATCATGATGTATGGGAAGCATTACTCAGTCTGAGGGAGCATGTACTGGAGTCCAATGTACAGAAACTAGCTATGCCAAAGATAGAGAGCAACCAGCTGAATTGGAGGATCATTAGACGAGTGAATTTCAACCCCTGAAGCCGACTGAGCCACTTGTGTAGGGGAAGGGACGGCTATTATTATTGGCGTGACGCTCCGGGGCGACTTAAAGATGATTGATGGCGCCATTTGACTTACAGGTGAGGTAAATTTGGAAAACCTCACCTACCATCATCGAAACGGTAACGCATAGCGATTTATAAACTGGATGTCATATCAACAGAAATTGAATTTCTTTTAATACGGCACCCATCAAATCCTATAACGAACCATGCAATTTAATTAAAAATTCACATGGTCTGGTGAAGGATTCGAAGCCGCTGTATCTAATCCACAAACCTATAAATGAATATAAGCGCGTTAGACAGCTACGCCACCGACCCGATTCACTGACATGATTTAAAAAAAAGAAGGTATCTGCATATTTTCATAATGGCCTACGTATGCAGGTTGAAAAAAACTTACTTTCTGCAGAATCATCTGGCTGCTCCAAGTTGGTATTTTTCAATAATTCTTCTATAAGATCGTCGGGGTTCACCCTGGTGATTTCAACTCTACCAGGTACGCCATGGGCTTCTGAGTCTTGATTTTGATTCTTTTTCCGACGCTCATATGCAGCCTTAGCTCTGTCTAAAGAGCCAGTTTCCGAAAGCACTAGACTACTGGCGCTTGGATTCCTAGAAAAATATTTTTTATGAAGAAGAAAATTTGGAATATATTTTTATATATGGATTTTGAAATATATGAAAGTTTAAACAAAAATACATATATTGTAGAATGTAATAAAACAATAATTTTCTTCCAAAAAATAAACCAATTGAATTTATTTTAAAATAAAAGGGACTTTATTAATAAGAGGAGGAAAATTATATTTTTTTAAATGGGACTCCATTATATTACAATTTAGAATTTATTTTGAAATTAGAGTCTACTTTTAAAAACAAATATAATATAATATAATATAAAAATTTGAAATTTTAAAGATTACATACACCCGTAATGAGGAAATTAGGGGTATTTTTTCTGTATTACCATTATAAGTGGGTTAAATCAACAACCCTACTCTTCGAATTTAAACAGTAATTCAAAACAAGGTATGTAATGTACATGCAATTGTATTTTATTTTTGTTTTCGAAAACTATTAGTTCCATGAAAAAAAGCAAAAGACAAAAAGTTAACAAATAAAACAGGAATAATCAAATAAGCATTGTTAATTCATAATTTAACTCCCTTATAACAAAATGGTAATACTGAAAAATACCCCTAGTTACCTTTTTACGAGGTAATCAATCTCGAAATGAATTTATAAACACTATATATATTTTTGGTTCGACATATACAAAACTTCTTTGTCCTAAATTCTTTTCCATTCTAAGTACGATGACCACCAGATTTTATAACGTGTTGGGTAAAAATGTGTACCGGAGTGCTAAGAGAGATGCAGTAATGAAATTTGACCAATTTAACCATATCCAAAGAAAATTTGTTAATTAGTAATTTCAATTTTTTATTTCTGTGTAGGGTTGAAATGAAGCCAAATAATAAAACGTATTTGGTTGTATAATTTTTGTATAGGGTTTAAATGAAGCCAAATAATAAAAAATGGATTTTGCAGCTAACTAAAGTCAGTTTGCATAGATTAAATAAACTACAAATAGGAAAATAATGCACAGAGATATGAAATAATTTTAAAAAACGTACCAAATGTGGCTTGATAAATTTAATGATATACAAAATAGAAAATAGGACAATAGCAAAATTAACATTCTCCATATTAAGTGATGGACCACTTGTTAGTATTTGTTTACCTTTACCAATTTTGGAACACGCTTCTGAACAAATATTTCTCTTTTCTCTAAAAATGAATAATTTAAATCGCCTCAAGCAATTCATAACAAATGGGTATCAATAGATATAAATTTCGACCAAATTATTTGTATTAACTAAACATTTCAAAGTAAATTTAAATATTGAGTTAAAGTACCCATTTTGAATCAAGAAGCAATCAGAATAAGCATAAATAAATTAAAAATTTTAATTTTTTGATTACAAATTAATTGTATTTTGTACTAATACGCCCAATTCAAAACAATTTATGGGAGTAAAAATTTAGAATCTGTCCCGAAACAGCGCAAAAAGAAATAGCGCATGTCTAAATAGCGCTATTGTTTGAGCGGGTATTGAAATAGCGCCGAACGGAATTGCGTCTACTCAAAATAGCACGTATCGAAACAGCGCCTGAACGAAATAGCGTTTATTAAAATAGCGCTAGTCAAAACAGCGTTTGAACGAAACTGCGCCTGGAGGCATTACCGAGTGCTCCGCAATCTTTTTTACATAAAATGTTGTAAAAAAAATTAGTTTACTAATTTACCTTACCTGTGCGGCATGAAAACATTGCGAATTGCTTCATAAAAATATTATACATAAAAGGAAGAAAATTAAAAAAAAAACTTAACTAACTTACCTAACCTGTGCATGAGCGATTGGTTAAATTTAAATATCAGTAGGTTGAGCAGGTTAGGTAAATTAGTTATGATTTTTATAAATTTTCACATTTGATGTATATTTTTACGAAGCAATCCGTGATGGCAAAGGTTAGGTAAATTAGTTAAGTTTTTTTGGTTAATAATTTTATGCAAAAAAAATTGCGGAGCACACCGTGATGGCTTCAGACGATGTTGTGGTCGGGAGCGGTTTTCACTAACGCTATTTTAATAAGCCCCATTTCGATACGCGCTATTTCGTTACGCCGCTCTATTAATACGCGCTATTTCGTAACAGCCAAAAACTTAATAAGAATAAATAGCAAGCAATAAAGCCTTTTAACATAGCGAATCAATGGTACAGGTGATTTAAACATATTAAAAAATACTTTCTCTTCAGAAAACATCTTAAAATATATTTTAATTGACTACAAAAGGGTACATTAAGTGCCTTTATTATTAAATCTGTAACATCAAAATACATTTTCCTCTATCATTTTCTTATCATCTCAACCGCTTTTCATTTGCGACCCATTTCCACTGAACTGAAAAACTCTTTATCTAAATTTTATATATGCGCCTTGCTCTCTTGTTTGCGTCTTTGGCTTTTTTGTTATCAAATTTTTAATTTAAAATTAGCGAGATAGAATAACTTTGTAAATCATAAAAAATTAGTTTTAAAGTTTAATTGAAATATTTTGGATAAAATTTAAAGAAAATATGTAGAAAGTTATCAGAGACCGACTTCAGTTAGTAACGAATTCATTAAAGCAATGAAGACGGATGATTATACAGGGTGTTCCAGAATTAGAGGCATATATTTGAACAGACTATAAACAGATGATGATAATAAGGCATAAAGCTCCTATAAACATACAGTATGAACACTTTCCAATACGTCTTTGCACAAGTGCGTGCAAAAACTACAGAGAGTATTAGAAACGAAAAATATCAGTTACAACGTAATTTGAAAAGAAAATGTACACCGATATGCTGAGACAAAATGAATCAGAAATTGGAAGAGCTTCTCAGACAATAAGGCGAAGAGCACAGGTATATATTCGTAAAAATGGTAATTTTGAAAATCTATTGTTAATAAATTAACTTTTGTTTTCACAGCGTTTTATGTATAAAAAAAAATAAATCTAAATTTAGCATGCATGGAGTTCTTTGAAGCAATATTTCTGGAAAACTATCAAACTTTTGAAAATGAACCAAAAGTAATTTTTTGCCATAATAAAGGTTGAATTTTATAAGTATGATCTCAAAATGAATAAAATGTAGAAGATAAAAATGTTTTCTATATCATTCTCCCCTAGTTGTGACGTGCCAGTTAGAAGGATCAAGTTTTTGAACTAGTTGTCACATTCAGAATATTAATTTTAAGAGAAATCAATAATTTGAAATATTTATCATTACCGATTTCGAAAATATCGTCAGAAAACCATCTTCAGAAGTTTCCTTCCAGGCGTTGTTCCCTTATAAGGCATTTTTGGATATATATGTTTATAGAAACATTCTGCCTAATTTTTACCTGTATAATAGGCTATTAAAATATTTACCTCTACTTTTGGAACACCCTGTAGAATGATCGTATTTCATTGGTGACATTTCGTAAGAATTATGGCCATTAAGATCGCATGAATTTAACGCAGTATATAAAATTGCATGTTTATATTTTGAAAAGCCTCCAACCATATTACTGAATCATTTATTTGAATCACCTGTACCTATTAATCTACAATAAGCTTCTAACAAAACCTCAAACCATAAAAGCCAATTTCAAGACAACAGTAACATTAACAAACACTAACTTAGTGACACTGGGACGCCGCACTGAAGGTGGGTTTTGTGATTCGGTAGAGGACGAAACGTCCGTGACCGGAACGACAGTGCCGTTTTGATCGTCGGGACTGTTCGCCAACGGGGCCAGCTTACCTGCCGACACCCCTTCCAGTAGCTTGCGATGAGACATGCCCCTGCGATTACACCCAGTATTAGTTAAAAACAAGCGAAACATCACAATCCAGTTGTTAGCGGAGTTAGTACTAGGGGTGGGCAAAATAATCGATTAATTAAATATTTAAAAATTAATCGATTATTTTCAATTAATTGATAAATAGAAAATAATCGATTAATAGAAAAGAATCGATTAATAGAAAATAATCGATTAATAGAAAATAATCGATTAATAGAAAATAATCGAGTAATAGAAAATAATCGAATAATCGAAACAAATCGAATAATAGAAAATAATCGATTATTTATTTTGATATTCGCCCAGTCCTATAGATAATTATATGTAATTGAATTAGTTATTTACTAATTTTCGATAAATTAATAACAAATATAAAATTAAAAATTTATTAAATAATATCGATATCTCAATTAATCTAATAATCGATCATTCTAATAATCGATAATCCGATTATTCGGAAATAAACAATTTAAGAATTAATCGAAAATAATCGATTATTTTTAATTATTCAATTAATCGATTATTTATTTTAATACTCGCCCATCCCTAGATAGTAGTTATTTGCAATGTTATGTCTTTGGGGGTATTAGTTCGCACACTATATTAATTTTTTTACATTTTGGTCCTGATTAAATATTCGTGTGATTTAATTTTAAAAAGTGGTTTCCATTTATATTTTCTGCATAAGACATTTATTTAAATACAGGGTGCTTCAGAACAAAGTACCGTAAACTGGGGGATAAGTAGGTCTTTAACTAATTATTAAGATTAGCTAAATATAATTTTCCTGCAAACATCCCAGTTTCCATTCTATAGGTTGATAAATTAAATGTCATTAAAACATAATTTCAAAATATAGCGTAAATATATTAATTTAAAAATTATAATATGAAGGTGAATGTCCAAACACCGAGATTTTGAAATTACCTAATATGCGATAATTTTTCAGCTGTATCTTCTCAATTTTTTACATATCAACGTGATAGCTCTCATAAATTATTTTTACCTAAGCCAATGGCAATCCAACTGGTATACAAATTTTTAAAATCGTTTTCCTCAAATTACTTTTTGTGACATTCATTTTTTTATCCCTGTACTATCCCTATGGCCTTCATATGTTAGTTTATCACCATTACTAGACTAATCCATTCATTTATAATTAAGCCCTTATTTATTGCAATCATTCCGATTTTTATTATTACGCAGAGTTGT